TGACTTGGTGATAGATGGTGGTAGAAGGTAGGAACAGTTAGCCCTGTGAAGGAGTGGCTTACATAGGGGCTTGAAATTTCCAGAGACAGTTCAAAAATATACATACCAAGTTCATCATACCCCAGCATTATTTCAAAAAAAAAAAAAGTAGGTAACTGATCAAAAACCTGTTTTTTAAGAAAGCAACTGATTTTCTATCCACCAATGCTATCTGCCGTAAACAGTGTAACTCTCATTTATTTAGCCGGTACTTTTTGTATGCTTGCTCCTTGCCAAGTCCTACTAGAAATAAGATCTTGAATGAAATAAACATGATCCTTGCTTTCATGGACTTTATCTTAACATTCCAATGATGGGAAACCATTGAAAGGCTCTATTCAGTGGAGTGATATGGTAAGACTGAAGTCTTAGAAATACTATGTGCTACAGTGTGGGTTTTGATGTGCAATAGAGAGTGCTATTGGGGAGACTAGAAAGGCAGCTGCTGTGTAATCTGGATAGGAGATGATGTTGATCTTAGTTAAGGTCATAGCAGTGGGGAGGGAAAGCAGTGAAGACAAGAGATAATTTGGAAGTAGTAGTACTTTGTAACTGATTGTATGAGAAAGAGAAGTAAAGTAACCATACATTCCAGTTTTCTCAGGACAATCCCAATTTTTTACCGTTACAGTTATTAAGAATCTCCCCTTTCACTATGAAAACCATCATGATTTGGATGATAAATTTTATGTTAATCCTAGAGATAATGAGAGAGAGGAGGATTCAAGAACGATATCCACCAGGTTTGGAACTTGAATGACTGGGTGGATACTTGTGCCATTTACGAAAGGAGATATACTAGAGGCGGAACTGGTGTTGGGATAAGATGATGAGTTTAGGTATGGACATGATATGTATAAGGTGACTGTCATACATTGGAATGAAAACTACAGTAATCAGATGACTCATGGGTCAGGAGTTCAGTTGGAGCTCTTAGGTAGAGATATGTAATTTGAGAGTTAGCAGCATGGATAGTAACTGAAACAATGGAAATGGATGAGATCCCCAATACAGAAAGTACGGAAAGCAAAGTGAAGTGGCCTAGATCCCTGAGGAACTGAAGGGAGCACCTACTTTTAAAAGATGTACCAAAAAGGAGGGGCTCACAAAGGAGATCTGGAAAGGAGAGGCCAGAAACAGAAGAAAGTCAGGAAATGGTCAAGTATGAAAGCCCCAGGAAAAGAGTGTTGCAAGAAGGAGGAAGTGGACAGCATGGTCAAATGCTTTTAAGAGGTCACATAAAATAAGATGAAAAAAGTGCACATTGGATTCAGTAACTTTAAACTCATTAGAAGCACTGGTGATGGCAGTTTGATTGGGTTGAGGGATATAAGCTTGATTGTAAGATTTTAAGGAAGGAGGGGTGTAGTATTTAGTGAAGTGAATACGAGCAATTTTCCAGAATTATAACTGAGAAAAGAAGAAAGAGCTAGTGAAATACCTGGAGGAATTGTGAAAGGATGGTATGTGTGCAACTGCTGTAAATAGATCACCCAATACGTCGCACTTGGAGGCTTCTATCTCTAGTATCCGCCTTGAAAATGGAAGGATGATTTTGTGTGATTCTACCAATTAGAAGAATTTTTTTTTAAATTTAGGGAAATTTGAATAATTTTATTTTTAAATACAAGGAGCAATAACACAATTTATAAAGTTACACTATTTTTTGTTCCCCCTCAAAGAAATTCATCTCATAAATTTGCTCAATAAAAATGAAATACTGCCTTAGGTTTTTCTCACTGTCCAAAGGGTAATGCTGCTCTTGGTTTCAGAGCACTGGGGATCCTGAGAATGTTCTTTGGCAGGGAAAAAAGGTAAAGATTTATGGCAAAGGAAAGCATTTCTGAAAAAGGTGGTACACATTGTCTTGGTGCATAAATTACAAATGGGACTCAAGGGTGCAGTCACTATAATAGCTTTCTACTCTCTTTGAAGAAAATAGAAAGTGCTCACTTAGGGCTACTGCTTATGTTTCCAATAATGAATCTTCTAAGCCTGAATGACTTCAAACAAGATATTTATGTTCCTTGGTTCTAGTAGGCCAGAAACTTAGAAAAATATGTGTGATTAAAGTGTATAAAGTAATAAATTTCTACAGATATATTTGATTAAATACTGTTTTAATAATAGTAATAGTAATATATATCACAGCTAAAGACTTTGAGGAGGATTCATAATCAAGGGAAAATAACCACCAAACCACATGCCCTTAAAGAATTTGATTAGCCTTCTATACTCAAATTTAATAATTGTGTTCAGGCATTGTTGAACAACTCTACAGAAGAATAGAAATCATGACAGACAAGTACTCTCACCCAACCCAAATAAATTAACTCCGTGATTTTTTTTTTTTTAATCCTTCTGGTAAATATTAATTGCAGTCCAGTCTTTAACAAAGACATGGACTATAACTTTAAAATAATAACACTGGTTTTTATAAGCACTAGTAAAAGTCTCAATACTTTGCACCCTTGGGTACATCTGTAAGGTTGTCAATATCTCTGTTCAGTAATTTACTTTCAGATTTGGATTTTCACTTCTGGAAATATGCTTAGATTTATTCATTAACAAATCTATGTTATTTAATAAAACTTCAGAAAAGTCTTTATCTTCTGAATTTGAAATTATTTACCCATCACCTTCATGTCAGTGTTGCTATTTGGTTGCTAAACCCAGGTGATATTAAGGCTGGCTGTTCAGATTTTATGATAATAGTTTTTATTAGCTCCTGTGTAAATTTGGAAGATCATCTGCTTCTGGTGGGGATTAGCAGTTCTGAAGATTTGTATAAATACAGCATATGTTACTTATGGCATAGTATCTTTAGAAAATTATCCCATAATAGCATGTGTTATATTTCATTAAAATGTCATATTAAAAGATACTGACTTCATCAAACAAGAACTGATCTCCCAGAGAGTTTCAGAAACATTCAATTTTATAAGTGTGACATCTGTGTCAGAAAATCACAAAGGGATCAGTTTCTCTGAAAGCCAAGTATAACGTAGAACCCAGTGAGAGTAAGTTTAATTAGTGATCAGTGATCATTTATTGCATGGGGTTTTAGGGGTTTCTACTTCAACCAATCGTTTGCATTTACTATTTGAATCAGTAACTGTGTCAAACCAGTAGTGGGGGCTGTGAATTTGGGAATTACAAATAATAAATATGTTCTTTCTACAGTTCATATCCAATTTAGGAATATACTTCACTTGTTTTCAGCATTTAAATACATAGATATACACTTTAAGACTGATATATGTATGTAGTATTTCTCAAGTTGCCCCTTGATGAATTAAACCATAATGTGTAGTTATAAGCATTGCACTACCTCTTCATTATTTTTCCCTAAAGTCTAGATACATGGAAAGAGTCAGTTTAAAACAAAACAAAACAAAACAAAAAACTTCCCTTTGCTTACTAGTAGAAACAAGCTGAAGGCTTGCTTTCTTCTTACCTGAGAATAATGGTTACCGAATGCTGGCCCATAGAAGTTTTATCCTATCCAACTGAAATACGATAAATTAGGACAATATAGTGAATTATTTCTTACAAAGTTAACTGTGTTCTTGCTACCACTTTTTTCAAACCATGTCTTTCCTATTGATTGAACTACCATTTCTTTTATGAAATGATACTGATATTAGATATATTTGTCATTTTTTAATTTCTTACTTGGAATAATTAAACGTTAACAACTTTGTGTTCAGTTTTTTTGTTTGTTTTTGCGGGAGAAATATGTAGCTGGTGGGAAAACTGGAAGAGATATTTAAGTATCCAGAACTTGATAAAAAGCTGAGAGACAGAAGCTGAAGAGAAAGAACTGGAATGTGGAAGAATAAATAATTTTTTAAGGGAATTAGCAAATTGTCCATTGGAAAAAGATAAGGTTAGAATTCAAAATTCATTTATGTATCTGTTTGTTTGGCCAACAGCGCTTGACTCCAAATCCAAGAGCTATGATGAATACTTTAAGGCAGTTTCCCAAACGTGCCAATCCTAAGAATCGCCAGGCTCTTGTCACGCAAAGATTCTTAATGGTGTGGGCTGTGGATCTAGAACATTGAGAAATGCTGCTTTAGAAGACAGAGGTGTATCAGATTTTTCCTAGCCCTTAAGCAATTTATAATCTTACCTTATCTCTCTAACCCTCAGGTTTTTATATCTGTAAAATGTAGATAATAATACTTGACAGTGTTCTAGGTAAATGAGGTAAAAAGAAAATGTCTTCAAAGGGTTACAGGAGCTTGTAAATGGATTAAAGTTTATCATTTTAATTGTCTGTGTATTTTGGGGGGCTGTGAGTAATTTGGGGAAAGAAAGGAAGTGAGAGGATGCAAACAGTTTTTAAAAAAATTCACCTCAAAGTTGTGTTTCCCAAGTTTATTATCTGGATTTTATTTGGTAAGAGAATATGAAATATTTCTTTATGTATCTATTATGCTTTTATTATTCTTTTCTTCTGTTAAACCAGCTATTTGTCTTGAATCTTGTATATCAAACCATAAAGTCATGCCTGTAGAAGTTAGCCTAGGCATTTATTTAACCTCACTCCTTGTGTCCTATACAAGTGTTGTACACATTCTTTAAAGCACCTCGTATTTAAAGTTGAGGTGTTTGATGAATGAACTGATAAACAAATCTCTAAATCTAACCTCTTTCCAATGGACTCTTTGCTAAAAACCTTCCTTTCTGACTTTTAAGGACATTGGAGACAAATAGTTCACCATCAGCTTTGGTAGTTCTTTCTGGCTTTTTGTTTTACTTTTTGTGTTAACATAGCTTTCCCCTAAATCCCTCATGCTGTACTTTAGCATTGTTTTGTATTTATATTTTCAGATTATTTTTATTCAAATAAAATAAACAAGTCGCCTTTTTGTAGTAATTTTTGACTGGGAACACTTCTCCTTTTTGTGATAATTAGCTGCTTTCAGTAGCTTATTTTTTTTTTATTCATTTAGCAGCAGCAACAGAAGAACCAGAAGTGATTCCAGATCCAGCCAAGCAGACAGACAGAGTGGTGAAAATAGCAGGAATAAGTGCTGGGATTTTAGTGTTCATCCTCCTCCTCCTAGTTGTCATATTAATTGTAAAAAAGAGGTAAGACCCGATATTGTCCGTCCTACTCACTACCATTTATGTCAGTAGTTTTAAAACACCTTTTTCATCGAGATTTTTTAAATTAGAACAAATAACAAGAAAAAGCAATGAATTTTAACAATGTTGTTAGCATCTGAGTCTGTTTCTCAGGATTAGAAAAAAGAAAAACATTCTTGTTGGTTATTTGAAGTTTAATTTTGGATATATGCATATTCCTTTAGGCAAGGTAACTTTCTAATTTGATGTAAGAATTTAAATTTCTCAAATGCAAACATACTTGAGATATTAATTATTGTGTATTTGAAGTGTTATTTATTAAAAACGTCAAAGCATGTACTTAGGGTGATACTTGCACTTTGGTCTATGACTTCTTTTGTACTCTTACTCTGTATTTTTTCTAAATCCTGGCTCCAAATAAGATATGAGAAATATATAAATATTCTTAGTGAAATTGTATATTACATTCACTGACTAAAATATTCAGCATTTAAAAATAGTTGTTTTTTTTTTTAATTGAACATTAGTCTTTTATACTCTATCAACCAATATTGCCATCTTCTGGAACTATATGAAGATGTTAAGACCTGCTGGAATTTGAACTCTGTTCTGGAGATTAAAGTATATTCCTGCTGAAAAATATTTCAAAGTATACATTTTTTACAATTTTAATTTTTGCCCGTTATATAAAATGTAATAATCTATAGACATTGTCTTGGAAAATAATAAAACTCTCTCATCCTTCCAATCATGTACTTTGGATAATTTGGAGGGACTTTTTTTCTTTTTGTTTTTTATCTTTACACACAGAGTATGGTCCTTAAACAGCTTTGTGTATAGAAGTAATTGTAATTTATGAATTATATTGAATAATACAAAATTGATATTGCTTACATTACATTAAATCATATAGTTGTTTACTGAGATTATTTTTATTATTTTATACTCAAAATGAAACATTAACATTATAGATAAGACTCATAGTACAATGTTTTAACAATTCCATCAGAGTTTATTTTAATGTATTGCCTCTTTACAATTATCCCCTGGAGATATATATGTTGGAGAAGACACATCTGCATTAGAAACATTAGGTATGCATTATAGTGTTTTGTGTTAACTTAGCTACATACGTGCTTTTCCCAATAGTGCTTTCTCTTTTCGCTGTTGTCTACCTCTGTGGTTGGAAAATACATCATACGTGAGGCAAGAAAATTTAAGTAGTTCAGTAATAGAAATTCATCAATAAAGATCATTAAAATCATCAACTACAACGTTCAGATCTTAGGTGTCTGTTTAGTTTAAATTTTTTTTTAAAAAGTTAACTAAACAATGCTTCACAATTAAATTACTCCACTTGCTTCAGATTGGATATGCAAGCATGAAAGTGGCTTCTGATTATGTCCTCACTGAGTTAGAATTAGGTTAAGCTTATTGGCTATTTGAAAACATTAGTTTGGTATCGATAGCCCTCTTTATATATGGCCCTCTGTCTAGGTAATACAAAAAAGTGAAAATTAAAATTTCCTAAGTATAATGAAACAGTCACTAAGCAGGATGTTTTGTTTTTTTTTTTTAATTGGGGGAGGGAACAAATGCTCTGATAGCTCTCTAAAGCTGAACAATGCAAGAAACTCTTCTTTTTCTGGTTTATATTTTAACGTACTTGGAAAAATGAACCTCTATTGAAAAGGTTACTATTTGATATTTTTTTTTATAATTGTGTTTTAATTGATTGTCTTTTGATCAAAAGTATACTAGGGCTTTTGCTTCTCTTCCTCACCAATACTTCTGTTGCTAGGAAAAGTGCAATTTTATAGATAGATAGATGAAGTTCCATGTTTAGATATGTTACCTTCGATATATAATATCGAAATTACATGAACCTCTTACTTACCTAAACAACATTGTAATGATTTTTACTCATATGTAGTGTGAATCACACTTGTGTTTTGTATGATTTAATCACACTTATGTTTATTATACACACACAAAGGCATAGGTATTATGATGAGATTGGATATTATCAAGTTTAGCTACACAGTTTTAGTATACATTGTAGTTTCCCTTTTAATGCATACATCTATACTAAGAAGAATGGAAAAGCAAATTATATGAGCCTTTTATCTATATTTTTATGGGAAATTGTAAATTTTCTCTGTCCTCATTGGAAGTAATATACATAGACATATTTTTCATGTAGAAAAAGGTTCCGTGTATTTCTGGTTGTTTTGTAAAGAAATGGTTTGGAATCCAATTTAGTACAATTTTACAGCTGAGGGTATATATAAAGTAAGTTTTTAGGCTAAGAAAAGGGATATTGCATCTTTCAAAACACAATGTCATTTATTTTTATTTAATTGCTATTTTTTTCCAAATGTTTGCCATTTCTTCATTGGTTATGTATTATATTTTATATGCGCAGCATGAACACATTAATATTTCCAAACACCAGAATTTGAAATTATGTTTCAAAACAGTAAATGTATTTGATACTGTGATCACATACATTTACTGTAGAAATCTCTTTGTGTATATATAATGTATGGTACATATGTATGTTCATATAGCATATGTATATACCTGTGTACCATTAAGATATAATGACTTTTTTATAGAAAGTTGGGTGTCATTCTGCATATATTAGATATTAACCTAATAAATCTTTGTTTCCTATCTAAAGAAAAAATTAACGTATTTAGTGTACAAGTTCTATACACAGCTATTCCATCTGTCATGACATTTAGATGGTAATGGATGATATTATCCTTAACTGCATGTCAAAAAAAACACTATTTAATTTTTCAATTATTTGGCAATAAAAAATGTCAGCATGTTATTTTTTTCCAAACAATGTATTTAAAATTTTATTTTTCTATTGCATATCTGTTTGTTTAATTGCATGGCGAAAGAAATCTAACCAATGCATGAGCAAATTGAAATGCAAACCAAAGAAACATGAATTTTATTTTATTTTATTTTTTAACGCACATTTTTCTGCTTTATTGAATGTGACAGAGTCACGCTTTTCATTCACCATTGCTTCTCTTTTTCCACTGTCTGTGATTTGCTTGCCAGGAGGAGCTACTATTCTTACTCCTACTACCTGTAAGTAGAAAATGGGTGATGTGCGACTTTACATGTGTTAAAGATGCAGTATCCCTTTTCAAAAAACAACAACAATAACAGAATGTTTGCAATTTTGGTGACATTTCAAAAATATCTTTTTCTCAACTCTAAAACTGTAAAGTTTATCCATTGCTTATTTTGCTAATCTTTTTAAAAAGGGATATTGTATTTCTGTATGTTTGGCTACTTTTAATTTTTATTTATACTTTTCCATAATTAGCTTTAGTCTGCAGCCAAAATCCTCATTTATTTACTCTTGTCAAACTTGTACCTTATCCTAGTAATGTGAGACCTCACGCCTCTGATAGAGATAGTGGTTGTAACTCATCCCTATCTTAATGTAACACAATTATATTTGGCAAAATGAGCAGAGTGATGTGCTCATAGAAAAACACTCAAAATGCCTTCAGGATATAAATTAGCTTAGGTCTGCAAATGATAACATCTCTTTCCACATTTCCAGGAATCCAGAAGGGGTAAGCTTTAGTACATCCTTGGTCTGGCCATCAAGGCAATCAGTATTCTCTTGTAAAAACAAATGGATAAAATCATAATGTTGCTGCAGTACATAAATAAAAATTCTTTCTAGAGAAAAAAATTGAGTTTGTTTTTTACAGCTTAAACAGGACAATGATTTTATAATACCAAGGCCAAGATCACCTCCCATCTACATGCACAGTCACACAAATTGGTGTCACATATCTGCTTTTCTCTTCCAGAGTCTGTGGGCTCATGGTAGACTTTAGTATGGAATGCTAGTTTGGATAAGGATGGAGAGGATTGTCCACTCTACTTCCTGAGTCATTTTCAGTATATCACGTTGGATGCCAGGGTAGTTATTTATTGAGTCAAAAGGAATGTTACAACAAAACATTCTTGGACTTTGACTAATATTTGATCCACCAACTTTCAAGGTTTAAGAATTGAGATTAAGTATGTTTGGGAAATATGCACCAAAGTATTTATATCACCAGATAAACTAGCTTCTTAACAAACTTTGGTAAGAATCTCAATGACTATAGCAATTCTGCCGACAATTTAAATATTATAAACATTTGGCTTCATAAAATCTGTTAAAACAAGCAGGTGTAAACTAACTGTGCTCCTAGCTTATTGTGATGACTCATAATATCCTTGTTAAATCACATTTGATGAAGCCAAAGATAATTAACTGAATTAACTGTAGTATTTCATACAATGGAAACCCTGGTGGTGTAGTGGTTAAGAGTTTCGGCTGCTAACCAAAAGGTCAGCAGTTTGAATCCACCAGGTACTCCTTGGAAACCGTATGGGGCAGTTCTGCTCTGTCCTATAGGGTCATTATGAGTCAGAATCGAAGGCAGCAGGTTTCTTTTTTTTTCTCATACAGTGATGGAGCACTTTTCCCCTTTATAGTCCACCCATACATCCACCTGCAGAAGTTTATGCTGTTGGCTGCTTTGAAAATGAAAGCCATTTGCACATCTGTCAAACTCAAGTAGTTGCAAATGAAGTGCTTACCTGTCCTGACATGCAGATTATATAAACTGGTTGCTCAGGAGGAGATAATTCATCAGATATACAGGGGATCAATAAGTATTTAATTATGAGAATCTCAATAAGCTTACCATTAACCATCAATGCATCTGTAATATTAGAATGGGATCTCCTTTCTGCTGGGTGGATGTCATTGCAGTATATTAGACTAGGTAGCTGCTTACAAAAACGTTATTGTAATATTTAGAGCTACTGGCATTATCAATCATAAGTATAAAAAAAAGTTTTACAGAGGTATGCTTTGAAAGGCAACTTGAACGTACTTCGTGAAGCTAATCTGAATTGGAGATTTCTTTTTATAAAAGTAGGAATAAATTAGAGTAGAACTTAAAAGAAAACCAGATGTGATCTATGAGCTAATATTCATTGACATTGTGGTAACTGTCAGTTCTTGATCAAAACACTTAACTCTGATGTTAATTTGTGTTTCTTTTTTAATAACCTGAATGAAAGCCTACCTCACAGGGCTGTTGTGAGGATTAAGGTATAAGAATGAAGCTGATAATGCATGGCTGACAGATCTCAACAAATGTTACATTCCCTTGTAATGTGTCAACTAATAACGGTTTGTGAATCTAAAAACTGAAAGTCGTTCATTGCTATGAAAATTTTTAGCTATCGTGCATTTGACAAACCCATCACTTCTTACTATTCCTCAATGATGAAACACATCTAATTTATTCATGTTTTAAAGTAAGGCCTCAAAGTTTAAACTTGTCTTTTCTACTTGCTGTCAACTGCCCTTCTTCAAAATTTCAACATTATTTTGAAACCAAATTTCAAGTAAGTATTATTTTTATCCAATTCTTTCTCTCAAAAATTTTGAGGAATAAATTCATTCTTTCTTCTTGCCCAAGAAACCAAGACTGGGAGTTGTTTCTTAAACTATTATTTTGCTGTTTTAAACTTTAAAAAATGACAAAATGCTTGTGCTGTGTTTACATTCTTTTCAAATTAAAACAACTAATGTTTAAATTCTCGAGTAAGTAGGTGCTGAGCCCTGGTGGTGCAGTGGTTAAAGCAATCGACTGCTACCTGAAATGTTGGCAGTTAGTAAACCACCAGCAGCTCCACAGGAGAAAGATGAGGCAGTCAGCTTCCGTAGAGATTTACAGCCTTGGAAACCCTATGGGGTTGCTATGAGTCGGAAATGACTCAACGGCAGTGGGTTTTATAGTATTTTGTATTGTGACAATAAAAAAAATGTGAGCAATGATATATGACATAAGAGCTTAGGTTTGGAACCAGCTCATCCTTCACTGTTAATTAGATAAGTAACCTTGGGCAAGTTATTTAACTCTTCTGAGCCTCAATGACTTGATACAATTAGAACCTTTATGCCTTTTTCAGGGTGTTGATCTTAGTCACAAAATGAAATGTGCCAGGCATGTAACAGGCTTAATACAACCATTCAACAAGTATTTATTGTCTGCTGCATGCCAGGCACTGTTCTAAGTACTAGGGATGTACAGACAGAGATGGTTCTTTTCTTCCTTGAACACACAGTAGAGAAAACAGGTAATTAAAAGGGTAATTAATTGCAAAATAAGCGATGATTGTTATTATAGGGAGAGAACACGGTGTTATAAAAACACTTACCAGGGAAACCTAACCTGAGACGGATTTTACTGGGATCAGTTAGGTAATGCCTCTCTAATGAAGTATCCTTTAAGTTGAGACAGAATGTATGGAAGTTAGCCGGATATTAGAGGTAAAAGAAGGTTTTCAAAGAACAAACATCCTGTATGAAGGCTTAGCAGAAAGTGGAAGCCTATAGGCTAAATATGACCTGCTGATGTTTAGCATAGCCCATTCAGTGTTACCAAAAAATAACTAGTTGGGGGAAGGGGTGGATTCAAGGAATTTAATATAAACATTCAGATTCTTAACATCTCTTAAAAAATTTAAAAAGTTAGAAGCTCAAAACTGAGATTAGTTACCAAAAGTCACTTAGGCAAACTGCCTCCTGAACTGTCCTCCAGTTCTTCACAGTCCCCACGCTTCAAAGACACCAGTGGCAGTGGTCTTGCCACTGGCAGCGTCACTCATTTACATTACCTGTCTGTAACCTATCAGTATGTATACAATTTGTAACACTAGCTTAGAAAAAGAGAGACATTAATAGTACTTTCAATGAATAGAGCAACTATTGCTCATAAACGGTGGTGGTAGTAGTGGTTGTGATGCTGTAGTAGTAGTGATGGTGATGGTGGTAGTAGTGGTGGTAGTAGTTGTTACGTTTTTGTCATTGTTTCCTTTTTATTATTACTGATACTGTCATTATTATTTCTAGAAAAATAGTGTCGCTATGAGTCGGAATTGACTCGATGGCACACAACAACAACAACTAACCCAAAATTTGAGCTGGGACTGTCTTAGTCTAGGTGTCAGGTCTGTTGTGTCAGTGTGTTGAGTGTGTTGGATGTGTAGCACATGATATTAAGCACTATAATTCTCAGAAGCAAATAATCTTACACAGGAGGAGCTTTCAAATCGCTAGATTTATTTTTTAATGGAAAAACACTTTGGACATAAACTCTATTAATTGATCCTTTTAAAAAATATTTATAATATATTTACTCTCATCTAGATACTAATGAAGATCAGAAGAAAATGTCCCAGTTTACAATCTAACTGAGAAATGGTGTTCGTAAAACAACTGAAGAATATTTCCAAGGCATCATAAACTGCTGCCATAAACTTAGAAGCATTATCTGCTTCGTACAGGATTTTTGAGGGCCTTTATTTATATCACATATAAATTGCCTTGTTAATGTGATTTAAGTATTTGTTACATACCTTTAATAAATTTTTTTCATTGCATGTTTTATGTGGAACATTCACAAAGAACCAGAATATATTTTATATCCTTCATATGTAAGATAAAGACATGAGTATGGAGTAGCTCAAAATTCTAGCTCTGCTGCTTTCCAAATCCCATAAATCGTTTGTTCTGCTGTATTTATAAGGCATTTCTGTAGTGAATAATTTGACATGCAGTTCCAAACCATATTTCTGGGATTTGCCAATGTCTGTAATCCAAGGTGCTGATAAATTGTATAGTACCTTTACATAGCATTTTTAAAACTATTTTTCAAAGTACTTTTCTTATAAAGTATATTCTTTAATCCCACATATTCCTCTGTATTTGTATTATGTCTAGTTGTGGTTGATTCTGAAAGTCTTCAGATTAGTTTTCCATTAATGTTATAAGTATATATTACTCAATAATAGCACACATAATGAAGAGTAGAATATTTGTCTAATTTGATTGGGTGATTACTGTAAAACAAACATGAAACATAATCATATTATTCTCAAGAGGAACTTCTTAAAGTTGATCAAAAGAATTAATTACCCAAGAGGAAAACCAAAACTTAGTTTTACCTTAAATTTCCTCGAACTGCTATACAAAGGAAGTATTTATTTATGGCTTTAATACAATATAGTTAAATTTTTTTGTATATTCATTTTAACAGCAGAATGAAATACAGGAAATGATGAGAGGCTTGGGCTGACAGCTTGAATGTTTAAATAGACATACAGCAAATAGAATAGTTTTATTTTAACAAAAAAATGTAATTGTTTGAATGTCGACTTTAATTCCTGAAATTATGGCTAGTTCTTTCTGTTTCTAAACCTCATCCTTATCGACCACAGCCTTACCTTTGGGCTGTCCTGAGCTACTTACTGCTGGAGTCAACTCTCATTTAAGCCTCACACTAAGGTTCACATTTTGCATCTTGCCTTGGCAGCAAGCTTGCTAAGAAACGAAAAGATGCTATGGGAAACACCCGACAGGAGATGACTCACATGGTGAATGCTATGGATCGAAGTTATGCTGATCAGAGCACTCTGCATGCAGAAGATCCTCTTTCCATTACCTTCATGGACCAACACAATTTTAGTCCAAGATGTAAGTTCTGCATTAAAATTTTAATAAATAGTTTCTCAAGTTCATTAAGTCTACTTTGACTTTTACATATTACCTTTTCAGTTGTGAGAAGGGGTAAAAAAGAGAAAGGGAAGAAGGGGGTTGGAACAGAGAAAAAGAGATATAGAATATTATGGAATTTACAAAGGACTTATTTTGTTTAACTTCAAACTATATTGATTTTATTACTGTACCATAAGAGATATTTCAAACATCTACCACTCAGATTGAATCAAATCATCCTTTTAAGTTTAAATACTGAATTACCTACATGAAATTGTTTCTTGTTATAATTTATAATTTTGTCATTTGCATCTTCCTCTGTATAAGATAAAATTCCCTTTGCAGAAAGAAGCATAGTAATTATTTCTGAGAATTATTGGCATATATAAAATTAGTCCATTAAAATATTCTACTATGCACTCCTGCAAAGTTTTAATAACAAATAGGGAAAAGTAGTATACATGCTCTTAAGTATCTGGTATGTAGTTAAAAAGTATAATTAAATTGGAGGATTGGCAGGGGCTGGTCAAATCCATCCATCCATCCATCCATCTATCCATCTGTATTAAAAATTTCTAATACTAATCTATGAAGGCAGAGCTTTTAAAATATTTCCACTGAAGTTCTGTCTAATAGCACATGATTTGAATAATTGTCCTACAATCATTATTACTATTTCATCTTCAAAATTCCTATGAATTTTATATTCTGTTATACAGTGTCTGTGTTTTTTTTAAGTTACTTACAAGTTAAATTACCTGACTTTGTTGCTTCAAATCCTCAAGTAAAAATGATGCTTGAGGAGGACAAATCATTTTTATCCTATGGCCTTGTGTATTCAGGGGCATTCTGCCACAGATCCCAGAGGTATGCTAACCGCAGTTTGAAAGATGTATGTATAAGGAAATAAGCGATTGAAATGCTGTTTTCTATACAGCTTATAAATATATTTAGTGTTAAGGTTGAGAACAAAAAATATTTGTAGGTTGTGTGTGTCTACACCTTTTCAGAGAAGGAGGATTTTTCTGAAATATTCCGTTGGCTGAAACTTCAGTAATTATTGGCTCTGAATGCAGCCCATCATTTTCCCAGCTATATATCTACACCAAGTTAGTAATTAGAACTGTTGTATGAGTCATTTCACAATTCAGTTTTAATCATGATAGGGCCTTTCTGGTCTATTTTACTTTTATGTCACTATAAGATAAATGATAGAGAAGAACACAAAATACTATTATTGCTGAAAGTAATTTTTACTGAAAATATAGATGTACCATCTCTCTAACCGTGTAATTTAATATCAGATCAATTAAGGGATTGAAAGCATTTCTCTTCCTCAAACTTCTCTATCTATTGCCTGTCTTAGTACCTTATTAGGAAGTTTGAATTCAGTCCTGTAACTATAAATATCCACTACAAACTTGGAGAAAGGATTAAGTCTGTTTCCCAGAGCTAAATGAAAAGATTTTATTTGGAATGAATACGAGAAAATTATTTGTCTAAGTACTCTATACTTGCTATATCCAAAATGTATTTTTTTCCTTTTAATTTTGTAATCTTTATAATGTAAAGTTGACTCTTCTGGCTTTTGAATTGAGACATTTACTGACGTATAATCCCTTTCCTTGTATTTTAAGATAACCCAAGCTAGAAGGGAGAATTTTTACTTTGCAGGTTACAGTAATAAAAGAAAGTTTAATGATGATACTTCTTAAAAAGTATAAATCTATTTTAAAGTAAAAAGAACAGAGTTTAAAGCACAACTTTAGGACAATATATTCCTTCATGAGCTTTGTTTTCCTACAGTGCCCAATGATCCACTTGTGCCGACTGCTGTGTTAGGTGAGGCCCTAACTCTTTATCATTTATTCTTGCATGGATCATACCTCCTTGCATGGGTTATAGCTTTGTCCACACAATAATTATTTACAGTGCAAGAAACAACTTAATTTTGAAAATAGACAGTGATAGCCTTATCAAAGAAAACAACTGAGGTCAACTCTATCAGCTCAGGTAGATTTCAAATTAGAAAGTATGCTATTTAAAGGAACCCATTCTTTAATTCTTACTTCTGATAGAATTGGAGCATAAGTACAAACGTCCTTAATGTGTGACTGATGTTTATGTACCCAAGCTAGTAGATTGAACCCAAATGTATTAAGTCTCTGGGTGCAGTGCTGCCTGAATAGTTTGCTTACATTAAAAAGAAAGAAAGAAATCTACCTGATGGAAAGGAATTTTCTAAATCCCCTTAAGTTATAGCAATTAAGGAACATATTTAGTAGTGAACATTAGGAATATGTGCATTTGTTTTAGTTTTTGTCTTTATTAAATGTAGCTAAAGTTGCCAGAACCTTGATTTGATGTTTTACATTCTGTATGAACCTTACGTGATAATAAACAATGTTTCTTTTCAGAAATTTAGAACAAGCCACTTGGTTTACCTGTATATATCATCTAAGACAACTGATTTTACTAGTGATAATTAAGGCTTTTTCATATGTAAAATTGTAGTAATTTATTAATCTAACCATATATTTGAAAATGGAATAGGTTTCATTTTTATTTATGTCTTATTCCTTGATTACTTTTACACCAATGATCCATGACCAGCTTGCTTAAATATGTAAAACTTTTATGTAGGTTTTACTGCAATATTTCTACTGTGCAAGGTTTAATCAAAGAACATGGAAATTGCCACGTAAACTGATTTTAAAAATTTTCAATTCTCACATTTGTTATATATATTTAATATTGCTTGTGAGCATAGAACTTTAGTTTTACATTTTATCCATATATTTTTATTATCCATCTATTCAATATTCAATTACTTTATAAACATATTTTGGAATAATACAACTAATTCAACTAAGTAAGAATGATACAACTAATAACAACTCTCTCTTCACTAAAATAATTATGTAAAACTTAAATTGTATAATTGATATAAAGGATATATAATCTAAAAGAAGCTGAAAGTCAGTGCTCTCTATCTGTGACCTCATTCTCTCTTTGATATCAACACCAATAAGGGCAGGAAAGTGAACTGGAGGGCTTTTCTTAAGGGGTGGCCTGATCATGTAGGGTGGAACCAAGAACCATGAATCTTGGGGAGGCATCAAATGCCAACAAAAATGTCATCTTCTGTTGAGCACTGTAGAATTCTGTCAGCCTCAAATTAATAACTGAGGAATAAAATTTAAATATTAAAAAACTCAGGAAAAAATTAGTTGCCTAAATGTGAATTTTTCATTACAGTAATATTCTCTAGAAAAGAACATGTAGTATTGGGTCCAAGTTTCAGTTGGTTTCTGTACTCACATATGAACTCAGAAAAATACCTTATGTCTTTGCTTCCTCATCTGTAAAACAGAGTATAATAATCTCTACCAGACTTTTCTCACAGGGGTTTTCAAAGAGAAAATGAGATAATGTATATGAAAGAGTCTTGCAAACTATAGAGCTTAAAAGATTATTATAATAATCTTCCTTGTGAAAAGGGACATGTATGTTTAAAGAAGGCTAAAGTTAACACAATGGAGTCATAAAATCTATTTGCAGTACAATCATGCATTTCATTTCATTTTGAACGTCAGGATGATTGGTTTTTTTCAATATTGTCATTCTTTAAAAGCTAAGTCTCTCATTAATCATATTAGATGTGGAAATGATTTGTTGCATTTTCATCATTCTCACAATTGTGGTGTTTGCAGTTGTTCTGCATCCAATTGATTTTGTATTTATGAAGCATTTTTTGAAATTACTTCAAATATTGCTAAATATTAATATCTACTTACTGATTTTAAAAGGGCTTGGAAATTTTTTGTATTGATTCATGCTTTTGTTTTTGTTTTTTTGTGTTTTACTGCTTCATTGGGTTAAAGTCCCTATAACTGGTAAGTGTATGGCAAAGAACTCTAGAAAACCTTTAAATCAAGGAAATATTTGTAATTATTATTCTTAAGTGTGTAATAAGGATAATGTTTAGTACATGTACACTCACTACTAGCCACATTATTAGGTGGTTTAATGAGATGAAAATGTATTTGATATTAACAGTTCATATGTGATTTTTCTAAAGACCTTGCTGCTCATTGTACACTGTATTAAAGCTTAAGCAAAACAAAAGGCACTGTCTATTTCATACTGGGACACCATCATACGTAAGATTTGGAATATGGGTGATTTCTGTGTTTCTTACTGATCCTCTTACAATTGTAAATATTCTGCTGTTCCAAGAGACCCAATGAACTCTGGAGCTCATCCAGAGAGCCCTGGCTACCTCATTCCAGCTAGGGTGATTACATTTCGTCTCCTCAAAATTATCTATTCTCTTTACTTCTCATCCTAAGCTGTATCCATTGGGATAGTGTCCACATCAGTGGCCTCTGAATTTAATTTTACTGGGGAGATGTATATATTCTTTATGTCAGTCTATTGATTGTAATATTTTAGTAAAGGTAGATCAATCGAGAGTGACCTCACAGGAAGAAGAGGAAGTGCTCATGAATCACGTTTTGTTAGCAAAATGTTTATGTGTAAAGCAGTGGGCAGAACCTGAGTAAAGGGTTTGCATTTAGTTGGGTGGTTAGGTCAGAATAGAATTCACCGGGAGATTTTTGATTCAGTGTGATGTTTTGGGGAGTGATTGCAAACAAAAATACATTCATTCTAATAAAAGGTATAAAGATAAATGCAATCAAGCTAAATCAGAGACACAAAATCTGATTGTGGGGTTCTTTTTTTTTTTTTTTTCCCCTTCTCCAGGAAGAAAAAATGTTTATCATGGGGACAACAATTCATTTTTTGCCATATCCTATTTGTAGAGTTGGTGATAGAACAGGCAAATGTGCCAGCATTTGAGATATGTTTAACTGTTCATTAAATATCGTTTTCTACAGTGTGCATTATCATTAAAAACAAAAGTTCCCCTAAGAGTGCACTTTCTCTTCTGTTAATGAGTATAGCAGTATAATGCTTTTTAAAATAACACCCCTTAAACATTTGTTTTTTGTTTTGTTTTGTTTTTTCTTTAAAGTGGTAAGTTTAAATGTGAAAAATATAAGCATGCTTCTCATTGTAATTATTAGTACTATCGTCATTAAAATAATATTTATTCTTCATAGGTAAAATGTTCTTGTTCTTTTTTTCCTTCTTATGACAGAAAAAGACCAAAAAGTTTTTTTTTTTTCATTTTATTCATAACACAATTATGATGGGGCTATACTTAAATGCGGGCGGTGGGGACTCAATTGATTTTAATTCATTAGAATATTTTATTGATTGACTGCTATGCAGGCACTGGGAATAGAAAGAAAAATATGATGCTGTGTCTATACTCTTAAGAGTTTAGAGTTTAGTGGAGAAAAAAGACAAGTAAATAAATGATTACAACATAGGGCACATGAAATAACATATGTGAGAACAGGAACTACGGGAACATGAAGCAGAAGCTTCGTAACCCTGCCTGGATGAACAGGGAAGAATTCCAGAGGAGGTGCCCACGTGTTTTGCCAGAGAGGCATACTGTAGTCTCTCTCTCACACAAAAATGGAAGAGTCAGAATACATTAGCAATAAAGATGACAACAACAATAATAATAATAAACCAAGGGAGTGAAGACTGAGTATAAATATAGACGTAACCTGGCCAGTAGACACACTGGGGCAAGGGGTCAACCTGTAGAATGCCCACATTTCCCAGTCTGGATTGTATTGTGGTAAGAAGCCCTGGGTGGGTGGTAGGGTATAGGATGGCCACAAAGGCAAGAAGAGCAGCTCTGTGGACATGGGTTGCTTAGTTTAGGGTCCCTGAGGGAGATTCAGGTATGGGTGGGAAGGAGCTTGTTCAATTTAATCAATAATGAAAACATCTCTCCAATTGACAACTTGGCCTCATAGTCCCACTCTACATCGCTCTGACTTCAGATGCAAGAAAAAGTAAGAACTCTGAAAAATCTCTCACTTAAACCTTTGTAAAGTGGATCAGATATCTCCCTGCCTCTCATAGCATTTGTTGTCTTGCTGATACACATGTAATATACTCTTAACCTCAAACCTAGAGCTAAGGTAAAAGGCTGACGCTTTATCTCTCTGGAGATGCCTCCCTGGGCCTATCCTGTCTGGTATTTCATTCTCTTCCTCCTGTTATCAAAGATCTTAAGGGCTTAAACTCTTCTTTGCATGGATACATATTAAACAAGATAACTTTGTTTTCTTTTTAATCTTCTCAAATCTGTAAAATGGCAGATGAAAACCACAGTGTTACAGCAGAGTCCAGTCGTCTTCTAGATGTGCCTCGCTACCTCTGTGAGGGGACAGAATCCCCTTACCAGACGGGACAGCTGCACCCAGCCATCAGGGTTGCTGACTTGCTGCAGCACATTAATCTCATGAAGACATCAGACAGCTACGGGTTCAAAGAGGAATATGAGGTGAAAGTTTCAATACTTTATAAAAGTTTGTTTTTAACAAAGATACTAGTGGAATTTACCATTTTTGTCCTCCTTTTAATATACCAAGGAATGGAATGCTCTGTAGGCCAATTAATCCTGTGTTTATGAGTATACAGTCCAGTGTGTGTGTTTGTAGGGCGAGGGGGAGAGAGGAAGGAATTAAAAGGGCATTTCCCATGGATTTATCTGAGTCTAAATTCATCATAAGAATTTAAAAATGTTTTATTCTACAATTTATTTTACTGTGTTCTTAAATTACTTTAGATCTTATATTTTCCCCACTCAAAAATCCATAGCAAGATACCTTGAATCCCATTGTGCCATTAGAGATTTTATCATTTGAAAGGCTTAGGCAGTAAGCACTTCTCTGCCTCTTTGCTTTTTGACCCTTTGATTGAGAAATCAGAGCAAGCTTTGTGCTCTAAAAGTACTACTCGCCACTCCCTAGTTTAGTTGGATTGTTGGTTGATGGTCCTTGGAAGAAAAACAGAGTACTGCAAGTCCAGTAAACAACATTAAGAAGCCAGAAGAAGGATGTGGGAAATTCTTCTTCCAACCTTATTTTTCCTTCCTCTTCAAACCAAAGTACCAGGATTGAAATTGCAAAGGAAGTGATTTAATCTGGACATCCCAAAAGGTTTCTTTGCCACCCTTCACTTACTGAGAAATATAAGTCTGAGACCTTAGAGGAAGTTCCACCATTCCCCCACCTTGCCCCCAGGACTCTCACCACACACACCCACACACACTTTTAAAATGAAAGATTCCAAGCAATACTTTGCTTTGCTAGACCTTCCCAAGTACATACAACTTCATGAAGAATTTTTATGAACGGACCAGTTTACAGATCACTTGTGTACCTTAGTTTGGGAGTGACTGAAATTATCTTCGAATATACATATATGTTGGAAACACTATGCTGTGGTAACAACATAAGTGTAAGGAATTAGAATATCTTGCCTGAGCAAGTTCTTCTTGTTCGTTTTATGTGTATTCCTGTGTACTTCACTTCAAAGACCCTTGGCTCTTTGAAGACCCCTGGCTCTTTGAAGACCCCATTTCCTGTGTTGAGCAAGGCTTAAGTTTTTCTGAAAAAAGACATCTCTACCCACATTTTTAATTGCTGCATATAAGAATTAAACTAATCAACAACTTCATCTGTTCCAAGATTTTGGAGATGGTGACTCTTTACTTTTCATATGGTCCCTTGTTGTAGAAACTCGGTCTTTTCATGGTTTTCAAAGAAACTAAAATGTGATATATTGCACATGACTTAATGAATAATTATGGGGGAAAGCAGGTTTTATTTTTCCTGTTATAAATGCTATAAAGTAAGCACATTTGAAAGATACTTACTAAAAGTAATTTTGAAGCTTTTGATGTCTTATTTTTTAGTACTTTTGGAAATGAACGATGCTTTCTCTACCTCCCTCATGTAAAGTTATAGAGATTTTAAATTTGAAATATGTTCAAGGTCCTTTTTTTTCCTCTCAGGTTATTTCTTGTCCTTAATTTGAACTAAATCCAATACCAAGACGAACAAGTATGAATCCAACAAACAAGCTTTGAGTTCTGGGAATGAAACTCGTTTATTACTGCAGGACTCCTTTCCTCTCTGAGAAAGTGGCTTTTACTATTTTAGTCTTCAGAACAGCTCAACCTGATTCAGAAAAAGGAATTAAATTGAGTCTTCTTGTTAATTGTTTTTGTTTTTTTTCAGAGCTTCTTTGAAGGACAGTCAGCATCTTGGGATGTAGCTAAAAAAGACCAAAATAGAGCAAAAAACCGATATGGAAACATTATAGCATGTAAGTTCCCATACATTCTTGTTGAAAGTAAATATTGTGTGTACAAAGCTAAATAGTGAGTTGCAATTCCTCCTTATACGGTTTAAGTTAAACTTTAAGAGATTCTCAGAGGGTGATACATCTACTTATAAAGTTATCTATTTAATATTAAAACAGCATTGACTATTGGCAGTGGCTCTGAAATTGTCATCATCCTCATTAATTAAATTGACTCAGACTCTTCACCCTGTGGAGATAACATGCTATTTGATTTCATGGTTGTGCATAAATGTATGGGGCTGTTTTAAAACCGCTGAGAATAGCAGGATAATGAAAAAGGAAGATCTTGTCTAAATTGCTGTAATATTCCCACCAAACATATTCAAAAGAAAGTCTTATTCTTGCCACAGACCTTTATTCATTACAGGGAGCCAGTGTCTGACCTTCAGTTGCTTCATATTGACTACCATTAGCAACTTCCTCCTGATTAGGTCTTCAAGATGTAAACCGGATACAGGAAGGAATTATCATCAGATTCAACAGGAGCAGTAAGAAAAGTGATTGTTTAACTCATAACTAGCTGCTGATTGAGTTAAACCACTCCATTCACAATTTAAACTATTTTAAAATATCTTATAAACGTGATGTTCAGGGAAATATTCACAGTGGTATATTATGGATAGGCTATTATTTTAAATCTCTACCAGCGTATACTGTGACATTGTCTCAGAACAGGGTGGAAATTTAATACCTGATATTTTGTTATTTAAATTTTTAGATGATCACTCCAGAGTAATTTTGCAACCTGTTGAGGATGATCCTTCTTCAGATTACATTAATGCCAACTATATAGATGTAAGTGTTTTTACAGTTCAGTTTTTCCAATTTGTTGGCTTATCTACGTGAATCTTTTTGCTTGTTATTACCTATAAAGCAATTGCTAGCTTTTTAAAATAAAGAACAAACTGTACACTTTTCCTTGTTCTACATCCTAGTACTTACTGATGTTGTTGTGCTTTCTTTCACACCTGACTTTGGTTTGGGCTGTAGATTTGGCTGTACAGGGATGTAAGTACCACTATATGTAAATAACAGCACCCTATTATAAACATTTAATACAACTTCTCTTAATTACTAATGCTTACTACTAGTTACCTCTGCATGCTTCACCTAATTAGCCTCATATGATATATCTATGTTCATTTTTTGTAACTCTTTTACATGTGTAAAGATCTATCTTACCACTTTTCCTTTTCTATGTTTAGAAAAACAGGACCATTTTTTAGCTTTTGACAGTTTATTATGTATTTGAGTTTTATTTGTTGATAATTTCTGTTTCTGGTTTTATTCTTACCCTCCCCTGAACGATATGTGAGAAGCTGGATAGTATGATGTGTATTAGTGTTTCTGAAATTTTACTTTTTATATTTCACTTATGATAAAAAAAGGATAGGGAGACTATTTTGTAGTGTGTAGTATTGGCTTGTGAAGTAATAAAATTACTTAGGCAAATAATTTCTAAATTGCATTTGTAAAGTATTCATATCACACATATATATCGAATCATACAAATCAAATAGTTTATTTTGATCAGATTCCATTGCTAAATTTTGGTTACAAGCTTATCTACATGCAAATTCTTTGTTTAATGAAAATTAATCATCAAATAGAAGATAAAATATTGTGAAGGGGGCAATATATCAGTTTATAGGACAGGCTTTTTGGTCAAACTACCTGGTTCCAAATCACACTGGAGATCTTGGAAATCTTACTTCATCTTTCTGTGCCTCAGTGTCTTCATCTTTATAGTGAGGATGATAATAGTATTAAATTCATTACTTTGTTGTGAGAATTAAATGAAGTAATGCATGTTAAGCAATTAGCACAATGCCTAGCACAGAATAAGCACTCATTAAACTTTAGCTATTTTTTTTTATAAGTAAAATCTGGGTGTGCTGAAATTATTGGATTCATAATATGCATTAATTGTAAGTCAAAGGGTAGAACAATTAAGTATCAAGTATTGCAACATATATGCATATATTTATATATATAAAAAATATGAAATTTAGGACCCAACTTTTTCTAATTCCATAAAGAGAAAATAATTTTCATCACATTTATTAAGTTTCTGTTTTATAGTTATTTTGTGAATTGTAATTATTTACATATTTGAATTAATGTATTTTAATAAGTATAGGATGTGAGTATCTTGGTTAAATTTCTAATCGTAATCTTAATCTCATTCAATATTTTAAATTAATCTGACATCTCCTCCTTGAAAATTAAGCTAATGGTCTACTCTTTAGAACTAAAAAAGTCAATAGTTCTCTGACAGATTTGTAATTGTTCTTCCCTCTTTATTTTAACTTTGACTTGCTGCCAAGACATGTACACTGGAGTCCTGTTATAATACTGCTATATGGTGGTATTAAATGAAACTGTGTTGTTATCCAATCTTTTCTGTTAAGACCCCAGTGTATTTTGGCTGATTACTACACAATTTCATAGTTTTCCCTCTTCGATTAGTTTATTATACTTAAAAGACATATTCAGCAATTGGTAAAATTTCATGAAAAAACAAGAGATAAAATGCTTAAAGGTTAGAATAATATTTTCTCTAAAACCTTGTGCAACATTGATATATTTTCCAAATTTTGCAAATGTAATGCTAAGCTATGATAAGTTTTAGCCTGAAGACTTCAGTTTATATGCATTTAAATGTGTATTGAGTTGCCTACCCCAAAAGGTAAGGAGCTCTGGTGGCACAAACGATTAAGTCCTTGGCTGCTAACTGAAAGTTTGGTGGTTTGAACCCACCCAGTGGCTCTGCAGAAGGAAAACCTAGCAGTCTGCTTCCTTAAAGATTACAACCAAGAAAACTCTATTGGAAAGTTTTACTGTCACATGAGTTCACTATGAGTTGAAATTGACTCAATGACAGCTAACAACAACAACCCCAAAATGTAGACAAATTGTGCCAAATGTTTTTATTAAAGCCCTTGGGTGAATATACAACAAATTCAGAACTTAATCCTAACATATCATTAACATTTTTGCAACTCATGATCTGTTAGAATTCCAACAATTAAGTGTAATTAAAAAATTATTCCTTATGAGAGCAATTTCTTTACTGAAAAAATATTAAATGTTTAACCATTCAGAGCTCTTGGCACACTTTAAAAAAGTACTAAACATTTTTGTTCAAGATAAGAGGAATTTTTTTAAAACTCTTCTTTCCCTATATATGTGTGTATCTATAATTATGTATGTGTAAATTAATATTATCGGCTCACAAAAAAATAGTTTTGGCAGATTCCTGAACATATTATAGAGCAGGAATATTCTCTAAAAAAATCTCAACAGGACTTTGATTTGATGCACACATGCGTTGTCCAGCTCTAACATTGGAATGTTCTGTTATTATTTTATGGTTCTAATATGTCGTTGTCCATTTGTAATGCAGTGTGTTGTACTCTTGGATGATAAAAAGAGAATAATTTTGAACACAATTTTGCCAGGAATGAATGACTAAAGATTAACATGAAGGCATAAACATTTTAGTGAAACCAAACAAAATCTATAAGGTTATTACATATGAAACAATGCTCAATTATGCAGTATGCATTCTAATCAGAGCCTTTTAAGTATTTAATTTTTGTTTTGTGTTTACCTTTCAGATAACCTAGGTTTGAGAAGTGAACTGTATGTGTTCACTACTCATTTCTGAACTTTTTGCTATAACTTAATCTTAACAGGTGGTTGTCTTCATCTTTTTATGCCTTCATTCATTTCTTTCGTATAGTAATGTAAAATGATAACCAATTTGTTCCCTCTTTTAGGGCTATCAGAGACCAAGCCACTATATTGCAACCCAAGGTAAAAACTGCATTTTTAAAATGTTATGAAACAAACAAACTTGCCCATTCAAAGGGTCATTTTAAGTGTTTGGGCTTTTTGTTTGTTTTTTTGCATTTTTATCTGAATTAGCTGGAAAAAAAATCAGCTCTTCTGTGTAACGCTGCTCTTTATTCATTTGTATAATACAATTCTTTCGATCTGTGGAAAACATAAATTAAAGACCTTTTTTTAATTAAAAGTGAAAGAGAAGCTGTTGGTAGTGGTGTGATTTGTTCCCTGGTATCCTGATGTCTCAGAGCATTAGTCAGCCTGGTGGAGTAGTGGTTAAGACCTACAGCTGCTAACCAAAAGGTCGGCAGTTTGACTCCACCAGGCGCTCCTTGGAAACTCTAGGGGCAGTTCTACTCTGTCCTATAGGGTCGCTATGAGTCAGAATAGACTTGATGGCAGCAGGTTTCTTTTGGATGAAAGGGAAAAGAGAACTCCGTTGTGTGAAGTGCCCATCTCTTTGCAGTATAGTTTGACAGGCTGGAATGTAATAGTACCCAAGACCAATATTGTTAAAATGAGATGTTGCACTGACTTACAGCAATTTTTTGACAAGCTAAGGCTGAGACAAAACAAAGGGCTGGAGGGAACTTAGTCAAGTTCATTCTTCATGGAAAATGAGAAGAAAGTAGGGAAATCTTATTAGAGTGGCACACTGGGAAATAAAAGTTTCCTAAATTGATCACTGGCCATCTGAAGAAAAACCTGCACATCATTAATAGAAAAGGAAAGTGAAATATAAACTATGTTTTCTCTTTTAACAGAGGTCATTTTCTAAGTGTTTTTCACATACCTTTTAAGTATTTGAGTTAAATTGTATATTCTTTAAATTTATAAAGGTCAACTGTGGTGAATGACATTCTAGTTTTAAGGTACTGAATAGACTGTAGGCCAGTACATGCTTTTGCAGTTTGGAAGTGATAAGATTAGGATGAGTACTTATCTGTAATAATCCTTCTTCATTAACCCCTAAGCGTGCACTGTTCATAAATGATGTGCCTTTATTTAATTGGGAATATGTGCTCTTTGGTTGATAATGGTATAAAGAGTTCCTTTTTTCACATATATTTGACAGATATAAATACCCTACTAACTAGTGATATCTTCTAAATGGAGAAGTAGAGAAGGAAAATTAGGGGGGGGGGAACCTTGCATATGCCCATGATTTTTATCTATTGTGTGAATTTACATATGAAATTAATTTTAAGAACTTGCAGTGACATTTTGTGTTAGACTTTTAATTCTCCTGTTAGTTTATTTAGCTTTTTATCTTATCCAAGCTTCTTACAAACTACCAAATTGCTCTAATAACATAATATTCAAATTAATTTCTTCACAGGTCCGGTTCATGAAACAGTATATGATTTCTGGAGAATGATTTGGCAAGAACAGTCTGCCTGCATTGTGATGGTTACAAATTTAGTTGAAGTTGGCCGGGTAAGAGGATAGGAAGTTTTTTTGTTGTTGTTGTTCTAAAATATGAGAGTAAGTTGAGTAGCAAAACATAATACACTTAAAATAGAAAATAGAATACCCTTCAATTAAAAAAAAAAAGCTTATAGACAAGACATACTATTTCAGATCACTGCTCCTAAGTGGACCTTCAGTGTCTTAAATTATTTGATTTCTCATTGAGTAATAAACTTTGATTTTATACTGAAATCTAATTGCACCATGAGGCTTATTTTTATGAGACTGATAAAGTATTTTTATTTATTGTGTAACATATTCTTTTATATCATTTACATATTTTTAAATGCAAATCCTATAATTTTATTGTGATCTGAATAGTTATCACTGAAATTAAGTCATATTGCTTCATGTGTGTTATTTGTTTAGATTTGTCTGTTATTTTTGTCATTTAGGTAAAGTGCTATAAGTATTGGCCTGATGATACTGAAGTTTATGGTGACTTCAAAGTAACTTGTATAGAAATGGAACCACTTGCTGAATATGTAGTTAGGACATTCACCCTGGAAAGGGTAAGTATCTTAAAACTATTTTAAAAATCTGTATATTGAAACTGATTTCTCTTTTTAAAATATCTGTCAAGCTTGATTTTAAGGTTGTTATAGAATTCATTCATTCATTCTACAAACATGTATTTAAAAGCTTACCAGTTACCAGATACATTTATAGACCATGGGACATATTAAAACCCCTGTTCTTGTGGAGCTTACAATCTATTGAGCAGAGACAGGCAATAAAAAACAGACAGGAAGGAACAACTCAGAGAAGAAAGGTGAGAATGGTTGCACCACTCGAAGAATGTAATCAGTATCACTGAATTGTACATGTAGAAACTTGAATTGGTTTATGTTTTTGCTGTGTATATTCTCAACAACAACAAAAAATAAAATCAATTATTAAAAAGAATAAATAGATGGGTGGTTAGGCAGATAGATAAGCAAGCAAGCAAATATATGATATATTATAAGTGGTATGGAGAAAAATAATGTTAGAAATGGAAGGAGGAAATATTGTTAAGGTAGGATTAGGGATAGTTTACAATTTTAAAAGGATGATCAGAAAAGCTCTCATTTAGAAAGTGACTTATGAGTAAAATCCTGAAGGAAGGGAGGAGTGAGTCATCGGTTATGTCCAGGGGAAGAATGTTTCCAAGAGAGTGAAGTGTCAGTTTAGTGGCCTCGAGGCATGAGTATGCCTGTCACAATAAGAAACAGCAAGGAGACCAGAGTATGCAGAGAGGGGTGACTGAAGGGGAAAGAAATACAAAATGAAGTCAGAGAGGTCACAGGGCCAGATAAACGAGGCCTTGTGGGCCATTATGATGACTTGTTTGTATTAAAAGTGAGCTGGGCAGTCACTGGAGGTTTTGAGCACAAGGGTAACATGATCTAACATTTATTTTTAACAGGATCACTCAAGTTGTGTTGCGGGAAGGACTAAAGCAGAGTAGGCCATGTAAGACTGAAGTGGGACATGGAAGCCATGAAGTAAATTGCTGAGGAAAAGCTTAATAGATTTGACCACACAAGAATGTAAAATTTTCTGTATCGAATGTATTAAAAGATACACACATAAAAAAGAAACTTAAGATTATTAATATATTTAGTTCATAGTATCAATTCAAATAGACAAATAATAGACTCTCCAAAGAAATGTAGTTGCTGACATGCCTTTTAAGAATGTTTAACCTCATGTACTGATAGACCATTTTGTACTTTCAAATTAGCAAGAACCTTAAGAAAAGAATAATAATCCTAATTGCTTATAAGGATGTGGTGAGACATTTTCAAAAGTTGCTGATCACGTTTAAATTGTTATAACCCAAACCCAAACCCATTGCTTTAGAGTCGATTCCAACACCTAGCAACCCCATAGGAAACCGAGTGGAACTGCCCCATAGTGGTGGAGCTGAACTGATGACCTTTTGGTTCACAGCCGAACTCGTAACCACTGGGCCACCAGGGCTCCAAATTGCTATAAACCCCCTATAAATGAATACAGCAGTGTGTCACTGGAGGCTTTAAAATACTGATGTCCTTTGACTAAGTTTACCCTCTATGAATCTATCCTAAGGAAGTTTTTTTAAACACAAAGATTTCCTTCTAGTCTTGGAAACTTATAGATAACCATAATTGCCCAGCAATAGGGAAATAGTTAAATTATTATAGACATGATATAGAAATACCATTCTTTATAAATGATATTTGTAAATAACAGAAAAATGGTTATTGAAAAATATTTAGGCTAAATATTAAATGAAAAGTAACATTATACAGAACAATGTAGTTACAATTATCACAACTTACAAACTGTATAAAAATTTTTTAGACAAATCAAGTAGAGTGAAATAAGCAACAATATAGCAGATTTCAAAAAGAGAATCATCAAGCTTAATTAATAGATAACTAGATCCCATTGTTATATAAAAAAAGAATATGAAATTCTCTCAAAGTCATGAAAGTTTTATTAAAAAAATCAATCATAACCTTTTCAGAAAGGAAACTTTAATATATTACAAAATGTTGAGATGTTTCCACAATCCAATAGAAAGCAACAACAAATCATTGGCCAGTGGTCCCACAAATTATCCTCTTAAAGATCACAAAATCCTCTTTCAAATAATAGTTGATGAATGATTGCTGCAAAACTAAAGTTATATTGTGACGATCAACGGTTTTATACCAAAATTTACCTCAGGTTCTCCGCTAAGAAAAATTTGTACCCATAAATGATTTCTATTTAGAAAGGCAGTCTAAAATCACATGAAAAATCATACAAATTAGAAAAATCTGAAAAAAGAAGAAAATGAAATAGAAAAAAACCACAAACAAGAAATAATAAATTAACAATCTAGTTCCTCCAAAAGATCAATAAAGTAACTAAACCTCTGTCAATCCTAAATGAGATACAACCAAAACAAAATATTAGAAAACACAAAGGGGCTTTAACTGCAGTTTTACATACTTCTAAGATAATTACAAAAGTATTATGTGCATACTTAAAGAAATAAATTAGTCTAGAGACACTGATTTTCCAGCAAATAGTAATTCCCCAAATTTGACTCAAGGAGAGTGCAATCCTAATTGGAACATGCTGCAGAATGGGAGCACTTGATATTAATATCACTATAAAGATTCAGTGCAATCTTAATTAGAACATCATTGGCTTTTTAAATTTGTTTTGTTATTTGGAACTGGAACAAAGTGGTTTTAAATTTTTGTTTCTTTTTTGGAACATGCACTGACAGATAATAAAATTTACTGAAGTGGGAACAAGCCCCATACAACAAGTCTGGTAAAAAGATTAACATAGGAAATCTAAAGTAATTGTCAAAAATCAGGTCTTAGAACAATTTCTGACCTTCCTCACTAGAATGACTTAAAGAGTAGCAAAGAAGGTGATTTTTCCATTTGTTGACTTAATGATGGTGCTTAGTATTGTGACTGTTGTGATTATTTGTTGAACCCTGCTTTGCGTAGGGTATGGTGCTGAGAACTGGAACTAAGAATAATTATAAGACATAATCTCTGACTTCCAAGGTTTTGGGGATATTGATATGTATAATAAAGAATGTGAAGATAAACTGTCTCTCTAAATTTTATTTATTTCATGTAATTTTCCTACCTTTTCTAATTGAGCAAAGGAGATAGAGGAAATTTCACAAATAGCTCACAGTAGAGCTGGAATTATACAGATTGTGTTTTTATTTTTCTACATATGTGTATTTTAAAAAATAAATTCTGTGACTCTTCATTTCTGCTCTCCAAACTATCCTACCACAATCTACAGGCTTCTTTTAACAAAACAGGAAGGAAACAGCTTTGAAAAGTACATTTAAAGGGTTCTCCTATATTATCCCAGTAGGAGAGGGGCACAACAATGAATGCTTCACTTCTTTCATTTTATGTTTTTGTTATTATGAATGATACGCTGTATGCTGAATTATCTCACAGAGCTAAGAAAAATAGTTTGCCCAAAGAACAGTTTAGCTGTCTGTATATTTTCACAAACCAATCTAGGGTAGCACTGTCCTGGAAAATCCCTACATGCTATGCTTCAAAACCATTTTCACCATGGATAAACAAGGCATTAAAACCTCTTTGTGAGGTGAGAAACTAGAGAGTTGCTTTTATACATCACTTGAGAACTCAGTGCGTTGGGTCAATAGGGCAGCATTTTAGCTTCCCCATTTTTTTCCTTTTTCCCTAATAATTTCATGTGTTGTCATTCCCGGTAAGGAACAAACTGTCAAGGTAAATAAAATTTACCCAGACTTTAAGAACTGAGCAAGACTTCTAATTTTCTTCCTTGGCAATTGTATGACAATAAAGGTAAGCTCCTATGCCATGTCAGGCCAGCAGCCTTTTTCGAGGAAAAAAAAAATCATGATCTTTGATACATTTTTCTTTTTTATCATTGCCAATCAAATCTAGTGCCCATGATTGTGTGTGTTTAATGACTTTATTTTGGTCCTTTGGAAAACACTTCTTTCCGTCTTTGCACAGAGGGGATATAATGAAATCCGTGAGGTTAAACAGTTCCATTTCACTGGATGGCCTGACCATGGAGTTCCATACCATGCTACAGGGCTTCTTTCCTTTATCCGGCGAGTCAAACTGTCCAACCCGCCCAGTGCTGGCCCCATCGTTGTGCATTGCAGGTGAGTGGTAATCCCAATGGTGTCAACTGTTTGCAGTCAGCTTTTCTTAGAGAATATCAAGATAAGGCTTTTAAATGTAAAAACTACTGTGTGTCTACAAAGTTCCAGCTTGCATGCATTATAGATGAGATAAAACAGCAATAAAAGTTAGCTGTAAGTAGGATATAAAATAGAAACTTAAGAAATAAATGCATTCATCTTAATGTGTGCAGTGTTGTCCACAGTTGTGAATGTGGAAAATCTGTCTTTTAGTGGCAATATCTGTGTTGTTTTTTATCACTTTTGAAAATTCCATATTGTATGGGATGGCAGGTTGAAATCAAGATTTCTTGCCAATTTTAGTAAATTCCCAATAGAATCCCAGCTTTTAAAACTAAATTTGAGACATACAGAGTTATTAAATGGCCTAAATTGCAAGAATTTGTACTGCAAAACAGCTATTTAAGAATTTTTTAAAAATCTATCCATCAAAGGACCTTAAAAACTACATCAGTGAAATCCAGCAAGTATATGATAGTGAAATGTGAAGATTATATCCAGACTTCTTTTGATTAGAAACTTCCCTTAAAACAATCATTCAGAGACACTTGAAGCAAATTACATGGCCTCATTTTTGAGATGTGACCAGAAAAACAAGTACTGAATCTGAAAAGCTTTTTCTAAATGCTACACACCATTCTCATGTACTACTCCCTCAAGCTACATAATAGGTTATAGTTAAGCTTCTTTTTTTCCTGAAAATCCAACCTATTCAGAATTTAAATGACCAGGTACAAAAGTGGAAGAAAAAGAAACAGAAAATGAAATAAAGGTAAGACATCGCTTAAGGATCAGGATACTGTGTACCCTGGAAAAAAAAAATTCAATTCAATCCCCCTCAAGAAATCTGATGTACTCTTCAATTACTTTCCTGTCTCAAACCCTGGGAACAGTGATTGAGAAGATGGTAGGGGGAAAAAAGAACTAGAGATAGCCGCAAGATCTTTTGCTTAAATTTCTAAATGAACAATGAGTTTAAGAGAAGTGACCAAATCTCTGCAACAAAGAAATAATGTTAATAGCCCATCTAAGCATTAGAAAATGAGATAAATAGGTTTTCAATTCAGAGATTTCTTGACTTACCACAGAGGCTTACTTTCTTATGAATTGCTTGCTTCAGAAATGTTCTGAGATTCTCAGACACTCTCTTGAAACAGAAGTATTATTTTCCACTTAGACTCAGGTATCTCTGGAATTATGGAAAAGATGAAGCTGACTACAGAGTGAATTTCCATCCCCTCAAAAAACCAAAATTATATCCTGCTTCCTTCATTGACGTATATATCCGGCTGTTATTGTTAGGTGCCTTCAAGTCGCTTCCAACTCACAGCAACTCTGTGTACAACAGAATGAAACACTGCCCAGTCCTGCACCATCTTTATGATCATTGTTATGCTTGAGCCCATTGTTGCAGCCACTGTGTCAATCCGTCTCATTGAGGGTCTTCATCTTTTCCGTTGACCCCTATTTACTAAGCATGATGTCCTTCTCCAAGGACTGGTCCCTCCTGATAACACGTCCAAAGTAGGTCAGACGTAGTCTCTCTGTCCTTGCTTCTAAGAAGCATTCTGGCTGTACTTCCAAGACTGATTTGTTTGTTCTTTTTGGCAGTCCATGGTATATTCAATATTCTTCATCAATGCCATAATTCAAAGGCATCAATTCTTCTTTGGTATTCCTTACTTATTGTTCAGCTTTTGCATGCATATGAGGTGATTGAAAGCACCATGGCTTGGGTCAGGTGCACCTTAGTCCTTAAAGTCCTTAGTCTTTGCTTGTTAACAGTTTAAAGACGTCTTTTGCAGGAGATTTGCCCAATGCAATGTGCCGTTTGATTTCTTGACTGCTGCTTCCATGGGTGTTGATTGTGGATCCAAGTAAAATGAAATCCTTGACAACTTCAATCTTTTCCCCATTTATCATGATGTTGCTTATTGGTCCAGTGGTGATTGTATAAATGTAATTGGAGAAGCATTTCCAAGGGATAAAATAATCAATAGTATATTATGATTCAACTTCTAAATTGGCTATAGTATGATAGAAGCTAACTTTGTCACCTGCTGGGAATCATACTCTGCACCTAACAATTCTTTTTATTTTTCCTTCAGATCAGTGTTCAAATATGCTTTCTACTATACGTCTTCTCCCCTTTGATTCCTTTTCCTTCCCACCCTCACCATTAGAACCAACCCTGAATTATGACTCTTCAGATATCCCACTTAAAAGTTTTGGTGTCTATGGTCTTTTCCCTTGGGACTTAAAATAGTTTGTCTGACTAAGACAGTACACCAGTATTCTCGCATTTTGCCAGAAAATCCACAACTACATGCATATAAAAGTCTTTCATATTGGGGTTAAATTTTAAAACATAAATCCACCACTTAATTAATTCTATGAGTTTGAAATTATGTGCATTACATGTACTTAAAACAAGAACTGTGTAAGAAAGGTATGGAACTTTCTTGAATGATATATATACATTTTTTTTAAACAATTTGATTTTCAGTTGTATCCTCTAATTTGGAACTCTTGTTGCAATCCTCAGTTAATACCAAAGCAGATGCTTTTCACAAAGTTGTTTGCACATTAAGTGTTTATACAGTGTGCACAAATTGTATTTCTTACACTTAGTTGAATCATTTTGACTTCACCTATCTGAAAGTGGAGGGGATCTTTATTAAAGTTTTAATAAAGTTATTTTTTATGTATTAAAGTTTCATAGGCAGTTATGCTTCTTAGAATTCTTTAAGTGTGGTTTTGAATTTTTTTTAGTGCTGGTGCTGGACGGACTGGCTGTTATATTGTGATTGACATTATGCTGGATATGGCCGAAAGGGAGGGTGTTGTTGACATCTACAACTGTGTCAAAGCCTTACGATCTCGTCGTATCAATATGGTCCAGACAGAGGTATGTTGATTTACCTCTAGTGGATTTTTTTTTCTTTTGCCTTCCAATATATATCAAACAAAAGAATAGATTTTTCTTAGTTCATCAACTCATATTGTAAAATATTGATGTTTTTTCATTACTATTTGTATATTAAAAAAAATTCTCTAATCTCTACCTTTGATGACAGAAATGTTTTATTCAAATCATATGAAAATTTTCCTTCTTTTGATAGGAACAGTACATTTTTATTCATGATGCCATTTTAGAAGCCTGCTTATGTGGAGAAACTGCCATACCTGTCTGTGAATTTAAAGCTGCATATTTTGATATGATTAGAATAGACTCCCAGACCAACTCTTCACATCTCAAAGATGAATTTCAGGTATTTGCTATTTCTAGGGCCTCATTTATGAGCAACTTATTACAATTTGTTCTAGGCACTATTCATTCTTTAAAGGAAGCTCTTTCAATTCAAATTCATAAACTTTGACCCTATGTTAAGTATAATACCTGTCTCTTTCATTATACATATTATAGAGTCACTTTTGTGTTAATGAGCTCATATCTGTAATATCTTCAAGGGCAAATAAGGTCAGGCTCAGGGAAGAGTATGGGAAAAAATATATCATAAGAGTCAATTTTGGTGGTGATTTGTGTGTATTTGCGATTTTTTTTTCAAGCAGTCTTATAGATTTTGACCTTCTGTGTTACTCACAATGTGATAGCTGACATTTGTACCAAGTGTTGTCTTTAAATAGCCTCAAATGTTAAAACATCCCTGACAGTGTATGGATATGAAGTCGAGAGTAGCTCTAAAACCCTAATTCTTGGCCCAGCACCCTTTCCATCATGCCACAGCACATCTCCAAATATGACATGCCAAAAGGTTATTACCAGTGATATAATTTCGAACTTTGAGGAAGGATCATGATCATGGGCCATCCAGATTGTCTTTTCTTTAGTTATGCAGTACATTTTGCAAGTAGCTATGTTGTCACGCCTCACTTTTTCTTTTAAGAAGGGACACTTTGAACAATGTGTATTTTGTTCCATTGTCACTTCTCAGGCCTAGTTAGCTTTAACTACAAAGTCCAACAGTCTGTCATAGTGGCAAATGCCATTGCTTTGCACAAATCCTTCACTTTCTACTTGGCCTCCTAAATACTTGCTGGATCTGTACTGTGCTCTTAAATGGGTCACTGTCTTTTAACCTGGGTTCCCTTTTCTTTTTAGACCTTAAATTCAGTCACCCCTCGACTACAAGCTGAAGACTGCAGTATAGCATGCCTGCCAAGGAACCATGACAAGAATCGTTTCATGGACATGCTGCCACCTGACAGATGTCTGCCTTTTTTAATTACAATTGATGGGGAGAGCAGTAACTACATCAATGCTGCTCTTATGGACGTAAGAGACTGCCCTCTTTGTTAATATAAAGTGCCATGAATCCATAAAAAGCTACATAATGCAACAGGAATACTGACTAGTTTTATTTACTGGGAAATTAAAAATGGCCTAAAAAGAAAAAAATGGAAACTTCCATTGAAATACCCTTTTTTTTTTTTTGGAGGATGATTTTGGATTTCCCCTACAGTGATTCTTAGGAACTGTAATTTTATAGTTTCATTGTAGTTGTGGAGCTCAATTATGAATTTTTATATTCTCTGCAGGAAATACCTGCAGGTGACATTTTTCATCTTAATTATTTTCAAAAAATAAAATCATGTTTATCTATTTTGAATACACTTAGGAATGAATTTTAAAAATCCCTGAATGTCATATTCTACAGAAGTTGTGTTAATTTGGGAAATTTTTATCTCTGACATTTAATGTTCCAGTAATTTATTTCTAATTGCTTTTTATTGACCATTAATTAATAGAGACTATTTATAGATCAGAGCCCTGGTGGCACAGTAGTTAAGAGTGTTAACAGCCTATAGTTAGAACAACATGAAAAAAGAGTTTTAAATTATATCTTTGGCCACCTTGGTTTCACTGCTTTGGGAAGAATCAAGAAGGCTATCAAGGTTTAGCATCTCAGAATACTATTTAATAGTTTATTGCTTTCATTATGCAAACCTCTTTATTTTTTGCCCTTTCACCTGTGGAATCATAACAAGGAGAAATTTGAAGTCAGGAGTCATTCCTTTTTGATTAATAATGAGGCTTTCAAAGTTGTTTCTATTATTTCTTCTAAAATTAACTTTTATAAACTAGTAGTCTGGTAGTAGAGACTTAGGAAAACCCACATTTCGCTTTTACGACTAGTCTTTTAGCCAATTACTTTGCTCTTTTTTAATGCTATATAAAAGTGTCAAAGTCAGTTGAAAACTTCCCATCCATCCTTGCTGTGACCAGAATCTTTCCTATACATTAATTACATCCTCTTAAATCATACTGGATTCTAATTATACTTTTTCTTCCCAGTTTAGTTGTCTGCAAAGGCAAATATACTAGATACAGAGCAAACACACCACACTTACTAGTCTCTGAGTCTAGATTTGGAAAGAAAAAGCGATGTGTGAAAGGACAAAATAATAATATGAAGAAAGGTATTGATGCCTTTGAATGTTTTGTCTTTGGCATCTCTGTCACATTTTCTCAATTTCCAGATTATCTCTTCAATATAAAGATTGAACCTTGTATTCTACTTGCTCCTACTCTCTGTGACTCAACAAAGATATATTTTATAGTTGGAACTTTTCTATGGTTTTAGTAATGTAGTTGGGCCTTCTGAAAGTAAAGTTTGGTTTGGGTCTCAAGAGTAGGGCTCAACTCTTCTCCCTCTCCTTACCTCAACCCCATTGTTAGTGTTACACACCCTTTTGCTCTGCCTATGAAGAATTAGGAGGTAGGGCCAAGGATTCTGTGATTTCAGATCCTTAGATGTGCTCTTGCATTTAGTGAGGAAAACAAATAGGAACTCTTCAGTCTTCTCCCATATCATCACCTCCTCATCCATCTTGCTTCTCTGTGACTCAAAAAATGAGTAGTTATCAGTCTGCTTTGCCTTACTTGCCCATTTAATAGATCAGACATTTAATAGGGAGAAAGCTCACTTCTTTTGTCTGATCCTTTCTCATGCCCTTCATACCATTCTAAGGAGGTATTTATCTCAGCTGCAGGTGTAACTTAGTAAGGTCTTGGTCAGTTAGAAGTAGTCAGGTGAGTTACCATCCACTTAGATTTATCTCAGAATCTTTCATGGAATGGAATTCTATGGTTAGCATGTCCCAAATGGATCAATGAAATCCAAGGACAGCTTCTACACTGATGTTAAGACACTTGAAGGACTTAAAGAGTAGTATGATACCAATGATTTAAGAGAACACTGAAATTTTTTTATCGTCATTAAGGAAATCTATCCTAGGCAACTGTCTAGTTATTTTCTATTTTTATTTTTTTACAAATCATTAGTTTATATTTCTGCATAGAAATATACATCTCTATTTAAGCATACATCCTCAATATGTAGAATAACAGATTGCCCCGGCCAGATGGGTTGAGGTTGAACAAGGCTATGATCTACTTTCTTGTTTTAGCTCTCATACTGTAAACAAATGTCCTTTTTGCAGTCTGTTTAGTTCTACTTTTTTTTTGTTTTTGTGCTTTCAGTTGGTGATTTCGCTGTTTAAAATGGCCCCCAAGTATAGTGCTGAGGTGCTATCTAGCGTTCCTAAGCACAAGAAGTCTGCAGTGTGTTCTGGGAAAAAAATACTTATGTTAGATAAACTTTGGGCATGAATTGCAGTGCAGATAGGCAGATAGCTATGAGTTCGATGTTAATGAATCAGCAGTATATATTAAGTAAAGTGTCTTTAAACAGGAACACACAAAACAAGGTTATGTGTTGATCAGTAATGAAGCTGTTATAACCAGAAGCTCGCAGGAACCTAACACCGTATGTCACCTAAAATAAATGGTTCAATATTTGGAAATTCAATGTTTACAACAACTTTAGAGCATAACTACTGTGAATAACAAGAATTGACAGTATATATAACAGTCAGTAGATAGATAGATACACACACACTAGGAAATGAGTTTACTTTGCCTTCAGCCTCACTGACAGTGATTACTTTGGAAAACTGAAACAGCCCAAGAGGTATCTCCTGGAGGTCCTTAACCTCAAGAAGTTCTTTAGTTTCTTCTTCTTCTTCTTCTTTTTTTTTTTTTTTTTGGTCTTGTATTTATTTCTCTCAACAAAGTAAAAGTAAAAATTCAATTCTTACCTTTAGACTTGTTGCCAAGGCAGATCAAAGTCTTACCATCAAATTGACTAGTTACTAGTTCTGGTATATTCCAGTGGTCCATATCTGTTATCCCATGGCTTAAACAGCAAGCTAATTCAATCTCTATATGAAGCTATTAGGTCTTATTAGTATATTGAATCTGCTTGTACAACTGGTCACGCATTTTAAGTTCTTATGTTTCTCCATTTACCTTGTTATTTCACAGAGCTACAGGCAACCAGCTGCTTTCATCGTCACACAATACCCTCTGCCAAATACTGTGAAAGACTTCTGGAGATTAGTGTATGATTATGGCTGTACCTCCATTGTGATGTTAAATGAAGTCGACTTGTCCCAGGTTAAAATGCTTTTGAGCTGCTTTTGTGTACTTGTACACATAATAAAGTACTAGTAGTAAAATAAAGTAGTAGTAAAATGCTAAACTCTGCTTTTTGCTACCCTAATTAGAAAAAATAATGCCAGTTTTCTTTTTCTTTCAAAACATTCATCATCTAGGGCTGCCCTCAGTATTGGCCTGAAGAAGGTACGCTGCGATATGGCCCTATCCAAGTGGAATGTATGTCTTGTTCCATGGATTGTGATGTGATCAACCGGATTTTTAGGATATGCAATCTAACAAGAGTAAGTCATTGTTTAATCATTCTAACTGAGCTGATACAGGAGTTAAGATCATAACCACAATGGGGTATAATTACATTCAGATAACAGAGAGAACAGTAATAATAAGCACCACGTAGTCAATTCCAAAGCAAGTAACCTCTTACACCTTGCTACTAGAATAAAATATGCATTCTAAAAGCAGGAATGCAGGTATGCTGGAAGCTACATTCTCTCGTGAGTTACTAGACTAACTTATTCCTTCTGGAAATCTAGATTCAGATTCACTGACTCAATTTAGTTTGTCTATGCCTGACCCCTGAGCATATGTAGACATCTCAAGAATGACTGAATGTTTTATGAGTATTGACATCCAGTCCAGAAAGGCTTATGATTGAAAAATAATATAATAATAACATCAACAATGGAGAAACTGTACATCAGGAGGAAGGGATGTGTTGGAACAGAAGGACCTTTGTAGAAGGGCTCCATGTCATTATTCCATATAAGAAAATGACCCAGGCATGCAGGTAAAGGTAAATCACAGCTGTCATCAATTCTCCTACCTACAATTTCATACTTCTAAATGTCCTAAGAATATTGAATATACCACGGACTGCCAAAAGAATGAACAAATCTATTTTGGAAGAAGTACAGCTGAATGCTCCTTAGAAGCAAGGATGGCAAGAATTCATCTCAAATACTTTGGACATGTTATCAGGAGGGATCAGTAGACAGTCAGTGAAAAAGAGGAAGACCCTCAATAAGATGGATTGACACAGTGGCTGGAACAATGGGCCCAAGTATAACAACAATTGTGAGGATGACACAAGACTGGGCAGTGTTTTGTTCAGTTGTACGTGGGGTCAGTATGAGTCAGAACCAACTCTACGGCACCTAACAACAACAACAAATGTCCCAACATCTGGCTCTGCCTAGCTCTGAAGGTGGAAGCAGTGCTGCTACTATTGTGCCTTTTTCCTGGAGCAAAGTAGCAACTATATCTTTCAGGAGTTCTTTCCCTGATTTTTCATGTGCTTTTTATTAAATGGCAAATTAAGTTTGAAGTCTCTCTCTAAAAAAAAAAATGTACTAATAACTGTTTAGATTATGTAATCAAATAGCAAGGAGAATTTGAAAAGAAAACATTAGTAACTTCCATGAAATTGTGCTCTTTTTAAAAAGAAAGATTACTGTATTTTTTACAGCACCAGCTCTATGTTTGCGTATTCTTTAGGTACATGATTAGGATTGTCGTGTTTCAGTGTTTTTCACCAAGATGACTCTATATGTGTCTGGTTTATAAGTCTATAAGTATATAACTATAAGCAGAGGATAAAATCATATCCAATTCTATTGCTCATTTCAGCAGAGAAAAAAGGAATAGCTTCAATCATGTCATAATATTCATGCATATCTTAGATGTCAATTTAAATGGAAGCTCATTATGTTTGCACATCTGTTACATTATGGTTCTAGTAATATTTTAGATGAGAAACAATAGCTGCTAAACTAAGAAAGTAAGACCTGTCTGTTTATTAAGCTGTTTATATGAAGAAAAAAAAAAAATCTAGGAACTGAAATCTGTATTACGTTTATTTTGTTGACATTCTATTTATTTATTTATTTATTTATTTATTTCACTTTCTTTATATTTGGTGTACTAGCCCCTGTTAGTGCATTACTTTTTTTTTAAGTTCCCAGTCTCACTGATTTAATATAATTCATTCATCATATATGTAGTACACACCAATGACAATCTGAGTATTGTACTCGGTAGCTCCTGAGTCTTGCCAAAAGATGCATGAGGCCTTGTCATACGAAACATCAGTTATGATCTCTTATATGACTTACTCATATACAGTACTCTCCCTTACATTTTCGTTTGAGTCATTATTTCAACAATACTACTCTTTGGAAAATATTGTGCTAGGTTCTAGTGATAAAGAGTAAGAAAAAAGAGAATCTTCTTTTTCCTTAAGGTAGTTTTATTTTCTCAGAGAAGACAAACATTAAACAGCTGATTGTATGATCATTTATTTACAAATATGATAAATTTTACCAAGAAAAATACAGAATACAGATTTTTAACTGGGTTTTCAGACATAGCCAGGTGATCGAAAAAGACTTCTTTGAGCCAGCGATGTTTACGCTAAAATCTGAAGAATTGATAAGAGTTATCTGAGTGTATAGTAGCTAACTATTCTGGTTTGCTCAGGACAGAGAGGTTTCCTGGTATACACATATGTCAGTGCTAAAACCGAAAAATTCTGGGAAAACTGAGATAAGTTGGTCACCCTAATTGAGAATGAGAAGAACAAGGAAGAAGAAAGTGTTCGAGGAAAAGGGAACAACACGGACAAAGTCCCTGAGGTGGAAATGAACATAACATGATCCATAGATTAAAAAAAGGCCAGTGTGTTAGAACATTTAGACAAAACAACAGTAAGGGAATAGAGATCTTGAACAACACTATAAACCAGCTACACCTAACAGACATATATAGAACATTCCATCCCACAACAATAGAATATACATTATTCTCCACTACACATGAATCATTCTCCAGAATAGACCATATATTAGGTCACAAAACGAGTCTCAGTAAATTTACAAAGACTGAAATTGCACAAAGCATCTTCTCTAACCACAATGGAATGAAACTAGAAATCAATAATAGAAAGAAAACTGGAAATTTCACAAATATATGAGATTAAACAACACACTATTAAATAACCAAGAGATTAAAGAAGAAATCACTAAGGAAATTAGAAAATACTTAAGCTAATGAAAGTGCATCATACTTATGGAAAGCAGTGAAGGCAATGTTCAGTGGGAAATTTATAGTTGAAAACTCCTACATTAAAAAAGAAGAAAGATCTCAGTCCATAACCTAACTTTACACTTTGAGAAGTTAGAGAAAGAAGAGCAAATGGAGCCCAAAACTACCAAAATGAAAGAAACAATAAAGATTAGAGCAGAGATAAATGTAATAGAGAATAAGAGAGAGAATCAGTAAAGCTAGAGGTTGGTTTTTTGAAAAAATCAAAAAATAAAGAAACCTTTTGCTAGAATGGCAAGTCAAAAAGAGAGGAGATACAAATAACTAAAATCAGAAATGAAAATGGGGACATTACTACCAACCCTACAGAAACAAAAAGAGGATTATACGAGAATACTATGAACAGTTGTAAGACAACAAACTAGATAACCTAGATGAAATGGACAAATTACAAGAAACAAAATATCTAAATTAACTAAAGAAAAAATGGAAAATCTCAACAGACCTATAACAAGCAAAGCAATTGAATCAATAATCAAAAATCTCTCTACAAAGAGAAGTCTAGGACCAGGTGGCTTCATTGGGGTATGCTACTAAATATTTAACAAATTAATACCAATTCTTTTCAAAGTCTTTCAAAAAATAGAAGATGAGGGAACACTTTCTAACTCATTGTATGAGGCCAACACTGCTCTAATACCAAATCCAGATAAAGACACCATAAGAAAAGAAAGCTGTAGACCAACATTCCTTATGAATATAATGCAAAAATCCTTAATAAAATACTAGCAAACTAAATCTAAGAGCACATTACAAGGATTATACAGCACCATGACTAAGTGGAATTTATCCCAGGAATGCAAGGGTGGTTCAACATTAGAAAATTAATGAATGTAATATATCATATTAATAAAACTAAGGAAAAGAACCATATGATCATCTCAGTTGATGGAGTAACGGCGTTTGACAAAATCCAGCACCCTTTCATAGTAAAAACATTGAGCAAACTAAGAATAGAAGGAAAATTCCTCAACATGATAAGGACGTTATGAAAAACTTAAAGCAAACATCATACTCAATGGGGAAAGACTGAGAGCTTTCCCTCTAAGATCAGGAACAAGACAATGATGCCTGCTTTCACACTGCTATTCAGCATTGTCCTGGAAGTTTTAGCCAGAGCACTTAGAAAAGAAAAAGAAATTTTAAAAAATCCAAATCATAAAGGTAGAACTAAAACTAGTTTCTATTTACAAATGGCATGATCCTGTATGTAGAAAATCCCAATGAATTCACCAGAAAGCTAGTAGAACTAATAAATGAATTCAGCAGAGTTGCAGGGTACAAGATCAACACACACACACATAAACAGTTGTTTTTATATGCCAGCAATGAACAATCTGAAAAGGAAATTAACAAAATAATTCCATTTACAATAGCATCTAAAAGAATAAAATACCTAAGACTAAATTTAACCAGGGAGATGAAAGAGTTGTACACTGAAAACTATAAAACATTGCTGAAAGAAATTAAAGGAGACCTAAATAATTGGAAAGACACCCCATGTTCATGAATTGAAAGACTTAACATGTCAGGATGGGTCCATGCCAAGACGGACCCATAACCTCACACTACATATGAAAATCAACTCAAAATGGGGCAGTGATCTAAATATAAGAACTAAAACCTAAAACTCTTAGAAGAAAACATAAGGGTGTCACTCAGAACCTTCTTTTTGACAGTGAATTTTAGATATGACATTAAAAGTATAAGCAAAAAAAGAAAAAATATATCAGTTGGTCTTCCTCAAAATTAAAAGAAATTAAAAACTGCATATCAAAGATTTTATAAAGCAAATGAAGAGACAGCCTACAGATTGGGAGAAAATTTTGGGGAACCATATATCCAATAAGGGTTTAATATTCAGAATATATAAAGAACACCCACAACTCAACAACATAAAGATAACCCAATTAAAAATGAGCAAAGTAGTTGAATAGACATTTCTCCAAAGAAGACATACAAATGATCAATAAGCATATGAATGATGCTAAACAACATTAGTCATTAATGAAATGCAAATCAAAACCTCAATGAAATACCATTTCACACCCACTAGGAGGGCTATTATCAGAAAAATAGGAAATAATAAGTGTTGGTGAGGATGAGGAGAAATTGGAACCCTCATCCATTGCTGGTGGAAATGTAAAATGGTGCAGCCACTGTGGAAAGCATTACGTGGTTCCTCAAGAAGTTAAACACAGAATTATCATATGACCCAGAATTCCACTCCTATGTATATACCCAAAAGACTTGAAAACAGAGACTCAGATACTTGTACAACAATGTTCCTTACAGCATTATTTTTAATAGCCAAAAGGTGGAAGCAACTCATGTCTGTGAACAGATGAATGGCTAAACAAAATGTAATGTATACATACAATTGAATGTTATTTAGCCAGAAAGAGTAGTGTAGTTTTGATACATGCTACAACATGGATGAAACTTGCAAACGTTATGCTAAGTGAAATTAGCCACAAAAGGACAAATACTGTGTGATCTCACCTATATGAAATATCTAGAAGAGCCAAGCGCATTGAGACAAAAGTTTATTAGTAGTTATAGGGACTGGAGGCAGGAGGACTGGGGAGTTATTGCTTATGGGGTCCCGAGTTTCTGTTTAGGGTGATGAAAACCTTTTGGAACTAGATAGTAGTGATGGTTACAGTGTCATGGTTTGAATTATGACCCCCCAAAAATGTGTGTATCAATTTGGCTAGGCCATGATTCCTGGTACTGTGTGATTTTCCTATATGTTGTAAATCATACCTCCATGATGTTAATGAGGGAGGATGCATGGCAGTTGTGTTAGTAAGGCAGGACTCAGTCTACAAGATTGGATTGTATCCTGAGGCAATGTCTTGAGATATAAAAGACAGAAGTGAGCAGAGAGACAGGAGGACCTCATACCATCAAGAAAGCAGTGTTGGGGTCCCTGCGCAGAGAAGCTCCTAGTCTGGGGGAACACTGAAGAGAAGAAGGCTGACAGAAAAAGCCTTCCCCTGGAGCTTATGCCCTGAATTTGGACTTTTAGCCTACTTTGACTGTGAGGAAATAAAATTCTCTTCATTGAAACCATCCACTTGTGGTATTTCTGTTGTAGCAGCACTGGATGACTAAGACACACAACATGGTGAATGTAATTAATGTTACTGAATTGTACACTTAAAAATGGTTAAGATAGCCAATGTTGTATTATGTATATATATATTTTACCATTTAAACAATGCAATTTTTTTTAAAGGCCAATGTGTCTAGAATGTGAATAACATGTTATAGTGAAGGGAAAGTTCAGGAAAGAGGTGGAGCCAGATCACATAAGAATTTTTAAATCATGGTAGGGATTTTGATTTCACGCTAAGATAGTTTAGAAGCCGTAAAAGCAGGCAAATGACAAGATCATATTTACACTTCAAAATAATCATGATGTCTGCAGTAAGAATGGATTAGAAGGACATGAAAGCTTATTCAAGGAGATCAAATAGTAGGTAATATCCTAACACATGTGAAAGATGATTCCAACTTAGAGTCCAATGATGGCATTGGAGATGAATAGAGATGGATTTGAAAGTTATTTAGGAAGTACATTCATGCGAATCGATTATTGAATATGAGATGTGAGAGAGTGGCAGATACAAAGGGTAGCTCGTGTTTCTTGCTTCTGAAACTTAGCATATTTCTGTACTGGCATGTATATATTTAACACTTACCTCAACTAGACTTAATCCAGTGTAAATGTCCCTTATATTGTGGTCTAAATTGAGGTGCACAATTTTTTTTTTTTTGGTAAAAATTGTAGTCCCGACTTATTTATGTAAATTTTTTTCCCTCTACAGCCACAGGAAGGTTATCTGATGGTGCAGCAGTTTCAGTATTTAGGATGGGCTTCTCATCGAGAAGTGCCTGGTTCTAAACGGTCTTTCTTGAAACTGATACTCCAGGTGGAAAAATGGCAGGAGGAATGCGAGGAAGGCGAAGGCCGAACGATCATTCACTGCCTGTGAGTATGTCAACTTGGCCTGGCCACTGTTTAGGGGCCCTTGGTGCTCATTTCCTTAGTAGAGTTCTCATTTTTTATAATACGGTATCTGACTCACGCCTCGTAGACCTCCATAGTTGTTATTTTAAAACACTCTTCTTATCCTATGATTCTATAATTAACTACTAATTTTAATTTTTGAATTTTTTTAAAACTATAGATTATTATATAGTTGTTGTATGATTTAAACTATTTTGAACACTATTCTGCACAACTTTTATGATTTACAGTTTACAAATGTATTGAAATCTCAAGGTATCCAGGTTGTAGCAATGTGTGCCTATAGCACACTCCTATGTGTAAACTACCGGGATGAGGTTGGCTCAAGCTTCCTTCCCCTCTGCCCTGTACACATACACATGCATACATGAAGCAAAATTAGGAGGCAAGTGGAAAAGAAAAACAAAACAAAAGCGATAATGTTTGTTTGTTTGTTTTTTCCCCAAACATATAGGATGATGTGGCCTATAGTCACCAAAAGCTGCCATCTAAAATGCCTTTCCTTTCTTTGCTTTCAGAAATGGTGGCGGGCGAAGTGGCATGTTCTGTGCTATAGGCATTGTTGTTGAAATGGTGAAACGGCAAAATGTTGTTGATGTTTTCCATGCAGTAAAGACACTAAGGAACAGTAAGCCAAACATGGTGGAAGCGCCGGTAAGTCACGAACCTTAGACTTAGAAGGGATCTTAGAGATTAGTTAGTCATATACCTCCTTGTTGACTTGACTTCATACTTATGTGGGGAAATCAGTGTGTAAATGAGTCATTCTGGGGACTTTCTCACCTAACTGGTGGATTGTTGAGTATCTCGTTCTACCCATAAACATTTTTAATCACACATTACATACAACTGCTAATGATAAAGACAACTATTTTCATTTAATTTGGGAAATTTATAGATTTTTTTTCTGTTACAACCAATAAATATTTGCTGCAATAACCTTTGGTAAATGGTTCTAAAATAAGAATAGATCCTGCTGTCTAGCCTTTATTGTATATTTTTATTTTTTAGAGCATATTAAAATAACTGATAAAGCATTGAACTGAGGGATACACTCACAGGCTGGATCAGTACTTTAGACACCCAATATTTTTGAAAGATAACTGAAATTTTAGTCATTATCCATAATTCTTCATTTTGTGATTAAATTATAAATTGGTAAACTTGCCTCACTGGCAATTTTCAGTTTGTACCTGTTTTGAAATCTGGCAAACTACAGAGGCTATAAAGCAGTTTTCATCTACTGTCAATAAAAACTAGTGGTTGAAAAAGGAAAATGTATAGTCAATAATTAAAATATTTAATAATTTCTATGAGTATTTAGTCCTTTATGTGGAAAGGTGGTGGGGGGAGTGGAGTGAGGTGGACTGGATCAAGTCATTACTACAATAGATGGGAAACCAGAATTAAGTGCAGTTGATTTTCATTATTTGCGGTAGCTATGTTCAGTAAATTGGAGCCCTGGTGGCGCAGTAGTTAAGAGCTATGGCTGCTAACCAACAGATCAACAGTTCAGATCTACTAGCCACTCCTTGGAAACCCTATGGGGCAGTTCTGCTCTGTCCTATACGGTTGCTATGTTCAATAAAGTCCTTGCAGATACTAAGTTAGCAAATACCGAACCCACCTTGTTCAACCTCAGCTGGAATATTTTTGCTGCTCTGCGCATGTGCGCGTCTTTAAATGACTGTGAAAGTGCCATGGGTATTTTCGGTGAATATGAATTGCTGAATAAGGAATTGGGAATGAGGAATAACGAGGATGGACTGTACCTATAACTATAAATTTTAAAACCGTCATAATTGGGGAAAACTATGCGTGTGGCACATCTGGAGGCATACCTTTTGGATGATCTTTTTCGTGAGTCAAAGCCAGGAGTTTGTAGGGACCACACCCATGTTTGTACAGCTCCTAATGTTAGGGTGCTACTGTAAAAGACCCCGTCTTTCCGGAATAGGACTAATGCTTCACCTTACTACTGTGGCCTGTTATAGCCCACCATCAAGGAAACGTTTACTCTTAGGTTAGTACTGACACAGAGGAAATAAATGGAGGCAGCCTCCTGCCCTAGGGAATCAGTCTCAGCTCTATGTTAGCCAGCTCTGAGGAGCCCTGGTAGCGCAATGGTTAAGCAGCTCAACTGCTAACCAAAAGGTTCGGTAGTTTGAATCCACTTAGCTGCTCTTACGGGACAAAATACCTGGCTATTTTCTCCTGTAAAGATTACAACCCAGGAAACCCTTGGGGCAGTTATTCTCTGTCACACTAGGTCACTGCGAGTGGAAATTGACTTGATGGTAACTAACAACAATGAAGGCTGCTGTGGAGAAGAGTGGTCTTGATCCTCACCTGGTGTAAGCACAGAGCTTATTCAACCTGCTTGTTAGATTAGGTTCGCCTGCCTGGTCACTGGGAAATTGTCCTATCAGATAGCTGCCTCTGTAGTAAAGGGAGGAAAAAAGGATGTGCTTATTCATATTGAAAATGATTTTCTGTTTCATTAATGTTACGTAGCGTATGTACAAATTTTATTATCAACCATGACCTCTTTTTTTTTCTTTCTTTCTATCACCACAATACCTCCAGTACATGGGATGCAATATCTCACTCACTCTGCTAGTGACATGTGCTAATTGATACTTTGAACATTCTTTATGATTTGTTGGATATGGCAGGGAACCCCCTTATTTGCATATTGCTTTCTAAAGCCCTCAGTACTCCAGACCACAAAATTCATATGATGCTTGAGTTTGCCAGAACTGGTAAAATCAGAACACAGCTCGTGTGTGTATACAGAGATAATAGGTGTGAGTACGCAGGGGTCCTTTGTGAGGATGCTGTATGTAGAGTAAGAAAGTTAAACTTCTCTAACACGTTTTACTTCTAAAGAGAGATTTCTGTGGGTTAAAAACATGTGGTGGGATCTGGTCTGGAGCAGCTGTGTAGTTACATACTCACAGAAAAGTGAACCAGAAAAACCAAGACATCATTGTTGCTTGCCCTACATTTATCAAGATGATCAGATAACTAAAACGAGAAATTCAATGAACGTTTAAAGCATTTTCACCACTTCCTGCTCATGGATTGCTCACACAAGAGGTGCAATGCTTCCTGAGGCAAAATTTGAAGAGTTAGGTTTATACTGTTTCACTTTTATAAGTGACAGCAGACTCTACTCCTTCTCCAAGTCCACTCAGATCCTCTGTATGCCATGCCGTTCTTCTGTAATTTATTGCAATTACCTGGACAAGATGATGTTGGTTTCAACTGAGGCGCTGGCAGTGGAGATGAAAAAAGGAGGGTGGATTTGAGGGATTTTAAAGGAAGAACTTGCAGGTCTTTCTTACAGATTGAATGGATAGTGGTTATGTGTTTAAGCTCTTTGTTGTTTTAAGATTTCTTATGTAAACTTTGCCTCCATCTCTCAGATCAAGCCTTCTTAAAACCATGAGGAGGGCCACTCCTATCCTCAGAATTCAACTCTTGACCTCCAAATCTAACCCCAGCTCCCCACCTTTACTTAAAAAAAAAAAGTTAAACTCTGCCATTCTAGGACCTTCCACATAGCTACTATTTTCCTTTACATTCATGTCCCATGAATTCTGACTAAACACACCACCCTCTAATTTGTGTTTAGTTAGGGTTAATGATTAGTTCAGTGTGCTGTTGACTTGAGCTGACAAGTTTGCTAAGAAAATGTAGAGTTAACTATTTCAAACAATTTTTGGTTCTTCAGATGCACTTGCCACAGTGGTAGGCTAATTTAAATCACACCTACTTGATAATTAGAGTAGGACTAATAAAGACCTCTTGGAAAGTTTTATTACTCTAGTTTATTGCTGGAGACACCTGGAAGCTCTCTTTAAAATAACCTGCCTTTTAAATTGTTCTCCAATTCAACATTCATTTTACTCACTTTGACTGAGTTAGAGTTTTTAATGAGTTACATATTGTAAGTCATAATTTGGAATACAGTCTCTGAATTTTCTAAATTCTTTATAATGGAGCGATACATGGATGGACTTATAGAGAAAGTGGTTAGAACACACAAATTTTATTGACAATCAAGTTGTCTTAAATTTATAAAGGCAGCAGAAATAAATGTTCAGGTATAAAAAGGCTCAGAAAATTTAACAACCCTTAGCCACCCTTGAAAAATTTACTTAAATGCTCTGATGAATCAAAAATTGTAAAAAATTATGAATTTGAAATTGAGAAATGACAGATAAAAATGGATTTTTTTTTAATCCTAAGGAAGTAATCTGAAATGTGGAGGATATTTACACATGTTCATTGTAGCATTATTTATAATAGAGAAAAAAGAAAAAAAGACAACCTGACAGTTAAATAATCCATACATTAGATTTTTGTGTAGTATAAAACAATATGTTAAAAGAGATGTTTAACAACATGCAAGAGGACTCAAAATGTTAAGCAAAACATAAAATTATATTATGAAATAAACCTATACAATTATATTTATTCTAAAATAATTATTGCCATATTTCAACCTTGTATAAAAAAGTACTAAAGCAAAATAAGGCAGGATTTTAACAACAATTGCTTCTGATAGTAGAAGTATATATAGAAATACTTCTTTTCTGATTCCTTGTATTTTTTCTATGCTGGGAAAATTTTCCATAATAATCAGGTATTGTAATCAAATAAGAATTCTGGAGATGTCAAAGAAATTTTGATAGAAAAAATTAGTCAAAAATAGCATATCTTTGTACTTCAAGTTTCTTTTCCTTAAACTGGGATCATTTAGACTCAAATGTAAACTATGTAACCCTGTTATTAAACTTGTATATAGAAAATAATGTAATTCTTGAATACTCTAAATTGTCGAGTATTTATTTGATAGCTATTAATTTCCATTAACCTTTTTTTTTTTTTAACTTTTCTGAATCCTCTTTTGTTAACATCTTTCAGGAGCAATACCGTTTCTGCTATGATGTAGCTTTGGAGTACCTGGAATCATCATAGTTGGGTGAGACATTTAAAAGTGCATCCAAACAGAAGCCTGTTCATCTGCTGAGCCAGCAGTTGTACCTATTACACTGGTACAGAAAAATTTTAATGTGGGGGGTGGGGGACTTTTACATTCAAGAAGTAAAAGTATTTTTATGAAGTTGTGTATCTTAATAAAAAGGACTGAATTAGTTTCTATTATTGTATTACAGCATCAACATTTTGTGCCACATAAGTTATATATAATAAGAACCAGATTCAAAAAACTTCATCAAATGAGAACTTATCAGTGTTCGTACAGTGAATACGCAGCCTTTTCTCTCCTGGTTTCAGTAGAGCAACCACCATATGTTGCATGAATTAATACTTCCTATGTGGCATTTTTCTCCCTTTTTCAGACAAAGGCTGTTAAATCTTAAAGGAAAAGAGAAGCTGTGCAAATTCATAGTAAATTTCATTTTTTTTATATGTTTCAGGTGTAACAGATCTCTATATAAATGTATAAATATATATAACTGGCTTATTTTCTTTTAATGTGCAATGATGGCTGGATCATTTAAAGTTCTTTTTAGAAAATAACATAAGCCAAAGACTCAAGTGTAAATATGTCTATACGGAGAAAGCACATTATATTTATTGGTTACTCACATTCCTTTTTGATGGTTAAGATACTACCACCACACAATCTTTTCTTTCCCCCCAAGAAAGCTTTTTCTTTAGCTAAAATCAATTGTAAACGATTTTTGTAGATTATTTTTTGTATGTTTTAGTGTAAGTAGAGGGCAAACTTTTTAATGCATAAACCAGGAAGCAATGTTCTTTATAGTGATTCTCTTGTGTACATGCTTGTGAATTAAATTTATGTAAACACCTTGGCAATTGGGTCTATTAATAGAGGACCAAATTAAAACATTGGCTGAAAATGTTTAGTTTTTTCAGTTTCATTAGGTAAATAATGGTTTGGTGATCACATATAAGAAATGCACACATTCAAAGGCCTTGCTGATGACTGAATTGCACAATGTTGAACATAGCCTTTAAGCATCGTTTAAATTTTAAAGGAATCATTTATCTTTTCAGCCTGTGGTCAAGCACTGGTCAAGAAAACAAGATGGCAACATTTATGCTTTCAGGGTCAAGTTTTAGCAAACTGTAAACTGTCAAGGTGATAAAATGTTTCTTTTGATGTTTACATGCACAAGCTTTGAATTCTCACCATCAGAAGCATGAATAAATCAATGCCAGATTCCTGTTTTGTGCATTGTCGTGGGATTCCCAAGTGAACCTTTCTAAATGTGGTCTTGTTCACATGCTCCGTGTAGCTGTAACTTCACATCATCAGCTTGCAGTTTGTTATGACTAAAGCATTCCAGTGTCCTCTTTCTAGTTGCCAGTATATGACATGGTGCTTATAAAGATTTAATTAAAGTAGGAGTGAAATAAAGATTTTTATAATTACAATAATTATTGTTTGCACATTATTTTCTGTTCTTAATTTTCTTGCTTTCACTCCCCAGTAGATAGCCTATTTCTGTATTCATCGAGAGGACCCTGGGTGGTGAAGACGGTTTTCACTTGCCTGCTGACCAAACGGTTGGCAGTCAAACCCACCCAGCGATGCCATGGAAGAAAGCCCTGGCAGTCTGCTTCCATAAAGATTACAGCCAAGAAAACCCTATGGGATTCAGTTCTACTCTGTAACACGTGGGGTCACCGTGAGTCAGAATTGATTTAATGGCAACGAGTTTGGCTTTTTTTTTTTTTTTTAGTATACTCATTGACATAAGGAGATCACAGAAATTATATTAAAGCAAAATAAATGTCCACATAACTAGTTTCTATCATATTTTTCTCTAAATTGAATGCCATAAAGTCCAGGTAAGTGAAGGGGAAAGACAAGGATTGACATCAGTTTATTTTTTCTTTTTAACTTTCTTTGTCTACTTTCTACTGTCCTTTCATGTAATATGCATTTCCTTACTTCTTCCTTAATAACGAAGTTGGCAAAGAGTAATTATTATCCTGTTTTACAGATGAAGGAACTGAAGCTAATGAGAAGGAAAATGATTTTTCAACAGATTCAAATCTGAGTCTGGCTTAGCACCTCACTCTTCCACTAAATTTACTGCTTCCCTATTTATTTGACAAAGAAAATTTGGCACTTCATTCTTCTAGTTCCTCATTAATTGATTTCCTCATAAAGTACTATCATTATATATATCTTCAACTCCCTTTTGCTATCTACATTATTAGAACATTTCTGACTTTCATTAGTAAAAATTCAGATGAAAGGACTTTCTCTTTTTCTAGGAAGACATGGAGGCATTTAACAGAGTCCTCAGGAATTCACCCAAACTTACCCAAAATTTCTTTACCCAGTAATGTTCATGGTGTTGAGCCTGTGGAGGATTCTGCTTTGCTTTATGACAAGATTTCATTTCTACTCACATGCTTGTACACAACGCCACCAAAATTGCCACACATACGGCTGTCCAGAGGTCCATGTGGCCTCCAAAATTCATGCAAGAACCAGACGAATCCTCTCTCTGTGTCTCTCTCTTTCTCTCAGACAGGAAATACAAATGGCATGCTTACTTTATTTGGGCACAACAGAAGCCAGTTCTTCAGGAGACAGTGGAGTAGGGGTAGTACCTAAATCTGTTTTTCTCAAAACCCATATTCAAAAGGTCATATTTTATAACCCTGTGGAGCTCCCTGTCATAGTCCCATACATGGCCATGTCCCACCTTGCTCTGTCCTTCTGAGCAGATGTCCTAGCAGAGCTCAAGAAGTAATCATGCCTTTCATAGCTGAGGGCCTCTACCCCTGTACAGTTATTTCTTAAGTAGCTATCATGAAGTTAAAATCTGTAAATCCCCTTCCTGTATACTATCAGTAGAGAAATGTTGGAAGTATTTCAGCCAGAGACACACATTGATTGAGCTGGGAATTTATGAGTTTTACCAAGTACTCTTGAAAATAAGTGTTAGCCCTCTGGTCTGAGCTGCCTAGACTTTTTCTAATATTTAGTCTCTGGAGAAAGGAAAGGTTTTTTGATGAATGTGAAGACATGTTTATCTCTACAATGATGTGCTCATGTGCTCGTTCAATATTCACTTTATTGCAAATCTCTTGGGTTCCAGGCACTCATATAATAAGTTTGAAAGTCAGACACCAGCAGCTGCTTATGCTCCAGTCTGCTCTGTTCCCAGAAAATGGTGTAAATAAAGAAGCTCCTGGCATCTGAAAAATTTACTAAACACCAAAAAAATTAATATGCAGGAGAGAAATGACTGTATAGCTCAACTCAAAATACGAGATAGTTTATTAGCTTTGGAAGAATGCCTTTGAAATTTGCCTTACTTTCATAGAGGAATGACCGTTGAACATTTACAGCTAATTTCTGTGCCCTTCAGCAAGCATTTTTTTTTTTCATAACAAAATAGCCTAAAATCAAGATTCTGTCCTGTATCCCAGTGGTAGAATATTGGTTACTTTTACCCTATAAAACATTTCTATAAGCAAAAACTCCACAGCCTTCTTATATTCATTTCAGTGTTTTAGCAAACACCACTATTTAACTTAGGGGCAATATGATATTTTATTCACCACTATCCTAAGTGAAGATAGAAGACAGCTGGCTGTGTATCCCTTAATAATTTCTACTTGTAGCCTATTTGAAAAGTATCCCCACAGCTTAGAGAGGTTTGGCATGGGAGAGAAATTATCTGAATTTGTTCACAACTGTGGTGTATTCAAGCAGTCTGCAGAGTACTAGAATATTATTTCTCTGAAACTAAAAGGAAAAGCTCTGTCTGGGGATCTACTTTAAGTAAGCTATAAATGGCTTCTAGAATACAAATTGTCCAGAAATCAATGGAAATGTGGTAGATATAACACTACTGAACTTTCAGCTTCCTCCAAAGTGATTGAAATGCTAACCTGGAAGATATCAAACACCAGAGAGACACTGTTATTATCGAATCCCAAAAGACCAATGGAGAGATTTCTAAACCATTGAAGAAAATATAAGGTCCCTATAGAATATCTTCAAGCTTTTTAATGTTAAAATCTTCCCAGGTTAGAGAAGGGAGGATGGATTTTATGACAGATACTGTCTGTCATTGTGCATTTGCCAATTGTAGAAAATGATCTATATACCTGACATCTAACACACAAGAGAGTGCTGATTTATTCTGATGCAGTAGTGTTCGTCTCCACATAGTCTTGATGCAATTAAGGGATATGTAATATTGGTCATTGTTTTTGTTGTTAGGTGCCATTGAGTAGGTTATGACTCATAGTGACCATATGTACAACAAAAGGAAACACTGCCTGGTCCTGTGCCATCCTCACAATCATTGCTGTGTTTGAGCCCATTGTTGCAGACACTATGTCAATCCATCTCGTTGAAAGTCTTCCTCTCTTTTGCTGACCCTCTATTTTACCAAGCATGATGTCCTTCTCCAGGGACAGGTCCCTCCTGATAACATGTCCAAAGTAATCAAGACAGAATCTTACCATCCTTGCTTCTGAGGAACATTCTGACTGTACTTCTTCCAAGACAGACAGTTCATTCTTCTGACAGTCCATGGTATATTCAATATTCTTTGCCAACACCATAATTCAAAGGCACCAATTCTTTGGTCTTCCTTATTAATTGACCAGCTTTCACATGCATGTGAAGCTATTGAAAATACCATATAATGTTTAGGCCAAATGAATTCAAATGTAGACTATGAAGAACAAGAGTATCTAAACTGAGTCACCAATGAGTTCTTAAATAGAAATTAGATTGTTGTATTTAAACTATGTTCCATGGTCTCAGAGACTAAATCAAATTGGGAAAGTAGAGAAACATGGTTGTCATGGCATCCATTTATTAATTTATTGAGAAGCAGGAGTGACAAACTGTAATGCCTACAGGACCAGCAGTTCTTTGAGTGAAGGAAACAGGCAGGTATGTTTCATAATGGTAGTATTATTACAGCATAGACCTCCTTAGCTTGTGCATTTTATACTAGGAATATTCTTCACATCTACCAAAAAAAAAAAATCCTGTCACCTTTTTTTTCTTAAAACACATTGCCTTCCTGGTCCTTCTTGCATTTT